GAGAGAGAGAGAGAGAGAGAGAGAGAGAGAGAGAGGAAGGTGAGCGTGTGGGTGGACGATCCGGGTCTGGTCTCCGTGGAGAAGCAGAAGGTGATACGGAGGCACGGAGAGTGGTAGGGATGGATCGGATCCTGGATGGTGGGAGCCGAGTTTTCTCCTTGGCGCGGTGGGGATGCCGATGAACACCGCGGTGAGTGACGCGAGAGGGGTTGGCAAAGGAGTCGAGGAACAAACCTGGTGGCAGCGATCAACGTGAGTAGACGACGCGCGCTTCTCTCCTTTCCTCTCCTCTCCCCTCCTCTCCCCTTGGCTGGGTTATCAGCCTGATGAGCCACTCGCCAACCTTTTCCCTTCGACCCCTCCTCCTCCTCCTCCTTCTCCTCCTCCTCCTTCTCCTTCTCCTTCTTCTTCTGCCCCGTTTCTCTCTCGTGCTTTTCCACTTCTTTTCGAATCTCCGTGCCCGTGTCTCGCCACCGAGGGAGAGACTTTTATCATTACCATCTATGGTCTATGCACGCCACTCGTACCACTCCACTCGTAACCAAGCTGTTCTTTCGTTTTGTTCTCGGAGGAAAAAGTGGTTACGCGTGGACCGCGCATTTCCACCAGCATGGGCTATTTAACTTACTTATACGTTTCATGTTAAACGTATGCTCCGAGTTTCGCCATATGACGCTACCGATCTGGTCACGGAGGGGCTGGTAACGATGGTGCAGGGGGAACGAAGGTTTTGCCCTTTGCGACACGCGGTACGCGAACATCGAACGATTTGTATTAAAATGAGCCGAACGAGGAACGCCTCGGACTATATTTTCTTTTCTCGCGAAAGAGAAAAAAAAAAGAAAAGAAAAAAATTCCCTTTATCCTCCCTTTATCCCAAGACGCGAAATGTGAATAATTACGCGTAGAACGAAACGAAACGAAAGGAAACGAGACGCTCGTTAGAGTTCGTCTTCTTGCTTCTCGATCCATCGAGATCGGGCTCGACGGAGGTATGCTTACCCCCCGTGGTTCGCTTCCATCGAAAATCCAGATCTGGTTGGTGACGACGACCACGACCACGACCACGAACCACGACGATGACGACCAGTTGGTTGGTCGGTTGTCAACCGGACATGTTAAACGAGTACGGGTCCCTTGTTAAAGATAGAAAGGAAAGAGTCGAAACGCGATACGCGCGTATATACGCGCGATCACCGACGGTGATCAATCACTTTCAAACTCGTGCTCGTACAATGCGTGTCGTGCCACCAGAATCTGCCCGCTCCGGAGACCTATTGTTGCCACCCACGTTGTCTCCTCGCTTCTGCTTTCGTTCGCCAAAACCCTCCTTCAAACGCATCGAATACGCCTCGATTATCCCCTTCGTTTCGTTGCGATCATCCTCGTGTACATGTTGTATTTACATGATGCTCTTTCTTGTTTCTCGATTGGCCGAATCCCGAAACTAATTTCCAACACTTACTTCCTATTTCTTACTTCTCCCTTTCCTGATCCCGCATATCGTCACTCGAAATTTTCTTTAAAGTTGGAACGATCATCGTCAAAAGCGAAAAAAAGAATATGCTTATCGCGTAGAATCTTAACGAGAAGAAGAAGAAGAAAAAAGGTTATGTTCGATATTCGCGAAAAAAACTCTTCCCCTCCACTCTCCGTTTGATTTCATCGTTACGCGATGAGACCCCGCATCTGATGAGAAACACGCGTTGCGGATCTTATCGAAATTTTTCGTGTTCTGTACGTTATCGTTTCTCTCGATATCTCTAAAAGTAGCCTCCCTATCAACAAAGTCGTATGTCTGGTTTCGTTCCAGGCAACCATCTTAAACGTTGACTCTTTTAAGAGCAACATTGTCCGTCGGTTAAAGGAAGAAGAACACGAGACACGTGCCACTTATATCCATCGCGTTATCGCGCAACTTATACGCCTGGCTACAGAGAACCAGAACACTCAGCCGTATTACGGTTGATTTTTGGCTGCACGGTATGATGCACGCATGTGTATCGCGATCGTTTCGTATCTCTTCTTCTTTCGGTCGGCTGCGTATTCATTTTTAAACGCACCCGCGGATAGCCTTCTCCGTACGACGATAAACGCGATATGAAAAAACATAAATGTGTTTCATCGTTACGTTACATCCTATTCTTCGTATATGGACCGAAATAAAAGGAATCTTCTCTTTAACCTGTAAAATTAACACGCGCTGTTATCGAAGGAAACTAACTAGTTGTCGCGAACTAACCTTAAAAAATCGATACTGTCTTAATGAGATAAGAGAAAATTGGAGAAAAGAATATTCCCTATTTTATTTGTATTGTTGACACATGAAAAGAAAAAAACGGCATCGTGAAGAAGAATTGAATCAATTTGCAGACAACTTTGTATGTAAAAATTTCATATCGTTCGATCTTATTCGTACGTTTCCAATTAATCGATGAACGAAATTCCGAGGGAAAACGCGCGCATGCCGCGTACAAACGGATCGCTTTCTCATAGATGCAAGAATCGATCCGAAATGATTAGCGATAATGTCAAAAGAGACCAAAGGCACGTCCGTGATGAGTCCGTGACTGAGGTATGCTTTCTACATCGACTCGGCAAAGTTGCTCCAATACGACGATACGTAACCACGAATTCACATAATTGAAGTAACTACAAGGCGCAACGCGCTGTTGTACGGCAATGCAATCGACACACCAGAGATAGAGAGAAATGCCACGGTTGAAACTGAGAAAGAGAGAGAGAGAGAGAGAGAGAGAGAGAGAGAGAGAGAGAGAAAATGGGAGGAGTTAATAGGAAAGAAAGGAAACGAAGGAGAAAAATAAAGGACGAAGAGAGGAAAATCTGTGCGATCCATGATGGATGAACAACGTTGGTCTATTACGTATCTGTGATTTGATGTTTTCTCCGTTCGATCGATGAATAACTTATTTTACCGTTTCTGTCTCTCGGTATCTATATTATTTTTGTTTTCACATACGTTTTCAAATGTACGAGGAAATATGCATCGAATGATTTTTCAAAACGAAATTAAACTATATAGATAAATAGAATAGATAAATAAAAAAAATAAACTTGAATCTTAATAATAAAAGTTTAGGATTAAAAAAAAAACAATTTCTTATGCATAGTATAAATATATTTAGATGAATATTTCATAATGCGATTGTGTCTACATATCGTGACACGTATAATGCTAATAAATGCCACCTTTTCACTGGATACGGAATATAAAAATCGATCGATGATGTTTTTAATAATGCTCGCACGTTCATTATTTCATATATTTCGTATACAAGTTTCGAGTTTATTTTGCGCTCGCGCAAAATTCACTTGTATTTTTCGAATTCTCGCTACATGTATCCAGTTCGCATATCGTAAAAAGTTAATAGAAAAACACTAAGTATTGATATTTTGCTTATCAAATAATACAATATTTGTTGAAATAAATAATACGTAAACATGCAATTGCTGGAAAATGAGCTCGACGCTCGTTTCGACCAACTATCGTCTATCTAATCGTGTGTATTTTCGTCGAAAATTTAATTTTCGGCTTATATATAATACGACATTACTAGCAAATTCGTTAATTGAAATCTTATAAAATATAAATGTTTTGTTATTATTATCGTCTCTCTTCCCTTCTTCTTATTATCTACCGATATTTATTACGTCATATCAGTGTGCATTTGTAACAAATGCTGATATGTACAAAATTAGACGCGAATAGTATCAGTATTTGCCACAAAAAAAAAAATACGTTCTTATAAAAACCATTTATCATAGCTGCCATTTAGAATTCGCGGAAAATCTATCAACAATTCATGCCTCGAAATATTCGTAATATTGTTAAAAAAGAAAATAACATTGTCGCTCATTTTACGTCTATATCTCGTATTTGATTTCGTTGATTCCGGTACATGAACGTGTTGTTTAATTCGATACATTAAAAATTAATATTTTTTGATTTCTTTTCTTTTTCAAATTTTTTATATAAATATTTCAAAAAAATTCGAAATATATTTGTATATTCATTTTACTATTAAATGTTTAAATGCAACCCAAAAATACTATATTAATCGATAGCACCAATTGTTCTAATAGATTTTAAAATATTATTCTTTTTGGTAAAATTAATATCTTAATATCTTTCTCAAAGCTAGTTGGAAAATATTTATTACGAAGTATACTTGATATTATAAAATTAAAAAATTTCATCGAGTCAGAAAAAACTTTTAATCGAAATTTCACGTTGTATGGAATGTGATCGATACGATATTATAATATGATAATTAAAAGTTCGTTTCAAATTGTCGCGTTACATTATATTAGCGGCTATTAATCGATTTTAATATCTTTTTCGGAAAGGAACGGTATTACGCACAGTTTTCGAATTTCTAACAAATTGCTTTATACTATGCATGAAATTTGCCGCTCCTCGTTATTACATGTAACTTCGTTTTCTTTCTGATTATCAATCCATTTCTATTGATGTTTCTCTCTTACAAGAGCGTACATTTTCTCTTCTTTACTGGTTCTGGAGGTTCTAAAGCGGCTAAAATAGCTTCATCAAACACATTTTTCAAACCTTTCTGAAATTTTTAAAACTGTATTATTATTGAATACGTTATTATTGAAAATATTATAACAAAATCGAGCATGTTCTTCTTCTTTAACGAATGTAAATACTTACCTGTGTAAGAGCACTACATTCTACGTATTTCACTGCTTTTAATTCTTTGGCAAGCTTTTCCCCTTGCTCCGCGGATATTGGTTTTTGCTTATTTTTTGCCAATTTTTCGATAGTAGCAACATCATCTCTCAAATCGATTTGAGTACCAACCAACAAAAACGGCGTTCTTGGACAATGATGTGTTATTTCGGGTACCCACTAAAATGAAGCACACACGTACGATTGATAATTTTCTCCTTCATTGTGCATGTAAATTGAATTTAACGAAATAGCAAACGTTAAAAAATTTGAATAAAATGTAACCTTTTCTTTAACATTTTCAAAAGATGATGGTGAGACAACTGAAAAACAAACAAGAAATACATCTGTTTGGGGATAACTTAACGGTCTAAGTCTATCGTAATCCTCCTGACCTATAACACGTAATATATAATAAAATATATCATAAAATATAAATTACATTATATATATATATATTGTTACAAATTTACCAGCAGTATCGAATAATCCTAATGTATATGGATCTCCACCGATCATTACTGTTACTGCGTAATTGTCAAAAACTGTAGGTACATATTCGGATGGAAACTTATTGGTTGTATATGAAATCAAAAGACAAGTTTTACCCACAGCTCCATCTCCAACCACAACGCATTTTATCGTCTGCATTTTGATATTTCTTGTATTACCTACAACTATATGACACATATGTTTAGAATTAAGAAGGAAAAATAAGAATTTAAAGACATCTTATAATATCTAGTGATGATATGCCAATGTGATTTTCATAACGGCAAGAAAATAGATATCACTAAAAATTCTTTGATATTTTACAAATAATTAACTCATTATTTTAAATATTTTTATATTTTACGTTTTACACGAGATATGAATTTAATAAAAAATCTTTCTCGTAAATTATATACATTTATAAAAAAAGCAGTCTTTAATTAACCTCAAATACATCATCGAATTTTTCGAATATAAAAATCAAAGTATAAAGAATTAATCTATAATTCTTTACGATAACGGTTATAATGTTAATCATGTTAATTTAAAATTCTCAAAAATATCATTATTTTATAAAATAAAATTATATTAAACAAACGATATGGGTATAAAACGATCATTACCTATAGTTGTATGTCCGTCATTAAAGGTTAAAATCGTAACTCATAATCTCAAAATACAATGAACGCTTAGGAATATATTGAAATAAGATAAAATACAAAAGCGACATTTAATATTCCGACACTATCAATCGTAATATATTTCATTGCATTTTATATTTATCACGAAATATATATTTCTTCTGACGAACTTTCATTTACGAATACTTGTCACACATGTTTAAAACCCAATACGCATGATAACGATTTTTTAAAAAAATATATCTAATATAAGTCTAATTAAGATCAAGACAATGAAAAAAAGATAACAATAATAAGAATTAAATTAATATGATTTCTTGTATTTAAAAAGAATGGTAAAAAAAAAAAAAATCGTAATATTCCATTCAATAAATATTTAATTTAAAGATTTATTTAAAAATTTACTTCATATATATTTAATTATACACGTATATACATGTAATAAATGAAATCAAATTCCAATTCATGGAATTTTTAAAAGAAGAACAATATAATCCTAATTTATTTTTATTACAAATGTATTATACGTATATATAATTTTTTCATTTTTATATTGTAAAATATTTTAAATATATATTTTTGTATTTTTATGTATTATTTTGTATTTTTATTATTTTATACATATATATGAAATATACTTTTATTCTTTCTCTGATCCTGTAAATTTTGTAATCTGTTTTGCCGATCAACAATGATTGAAAAATTTTGATCAACGCCATCTTGCGTTTTGACACTCGAAGCTCTAAATTGTTATTGGCATAGCAGAATATGTAAGGAGGTTATTTCATGATGTCAAAAGAAGAACAATATTAAAAGATATCATTAAAAATTAATTAATAACTTTAATAATTTTTTATTAAAAATTTTTGCACTTTTAAGCATTTTTTTGCATTTCAAAGCTAAAATCTCAAACAAATTTCTGGTATAAATTTTAATAGAAAATTAGAATTCATTCTTAATTTCTTAATTAATGATATTTAATTAATTAATGATAAATATGCGCTAGGTGCAGGCTCATATAACAATATTATGTATTAATATCATATTTATTATAATATATTAATGTTATTATAAGATTTATTTCTATATAATTGTGTGCAGCTCAAGCTTTAAATTAATAATTCCTCTATATTCATGTATTATTTTCGTTCATAATTTTATTGTTTTTTAAATAATAACAATATTGAACATTTATTACTCGATTATACATCAAGAATTTGCGACCAAGATGCTTTCTCTATGATGATCATTAATAAATAATTGAAAAAAATTTCCAGTTAAAATTTATACGAGAAAATTATTTGAAGTTCTATTTTTGAGATATATATTTTTGAAAATTCAGAAATTCTTCTTAATTAATTGTTTATTAACAATTATCATGCAAAAATATTAATCAAATTATTTATTTAAACGATAGCAAATTTATATATGTATAAAATTAATACGTGAAAATAATGGAATTAATGTTTCAAATGTATATATTTATATTTAAAAATAAATTCTAAATGAAATTTTAAATTTAAAATGAGAATAATAAAAAAATATTGCATATTAATGGCATCGATCTAATATGATATTAATTATTAATAAATAATTAATTAAAAACAATATTATGCTACGATTAATAGAAGAAACTTTTTTAAAATCTCATCTCATATAAACTTAAGAATGCAAAAATGAATAATAAAAAATTAGTTAATTATTAATTTTTAGAAAATTACGTTTTCGGAAAATATCAGGAATCGCATAAAACTTAATGATACGTCTTCTCTATTCTCGCACACTGTTATTCCTCTTGTATACAGATACCTCTTTATATATTCTGCTGCGCTAGTAACAAGTTTAAGTTTAGGATATCAAAACGCAAGATGGCGTCACAAGTGCATAAATTTATTATTGTCTTTCTTTATTTAACTTTTATTTAACAAAATGTACTTATTTTACGTTTCTACATGTCATACCAAATTCTATATATATATATGTATATATTTTGTACATATTTCTATTTTTTTATATATATATGTATTATATATATTTTTAAATCTTTATATATCGGATATATATTCTTTTGGATAATATATATTTTTATGCATCGTATATTTTATTTTAAATAAAGATATATATATAATATATAAATTCATTAAATTCTAGAAAATTTTTGCAAGTCTATTATTTTCTCCTATCATTAGATTATATTCTCCCAATCATCAAATTCAATAAAAAATTCTTCTTCTAAAAGTTTATATTACAATATCTCGAGAATATTTTCAAAATTTTTTCATTTCCAAGAATAAAAATTTTTTACATGACATTTATAATCAGTATATATATATATATATATATATATGTTTATTTTATGTATAATATATATAATCAATATATGTGTTTATTTTATAATATATCTCTATAATAATGATTTCTAATAATATATGATATTTGCAATTTATTTATTTAATAATATTAAAAATTTATTTAATAATTTATTTAAAAAAAAAAATGTTCGCAGTACATTTAATAACAAGCCAACAATTGTATTTATTATAATTAAATGTAAGAGTATTATATATGCTTAATATACAAAACAGTTTCATACATTATATTAAAAATTAAAATAAAAAATAATCATTTTTTACTAATTATAAAAATATATTACAATTTATCCCCTGCATTTAAATTTACGTTCCTCTTATTTTCTAAGGACGTATATAGTTTTGTTATTATGTTTTCTATAAATTTTCTATAAATAATAAATATATATAATGCTACTTATTATCTTGCTTCAGATTTAGAGAATGGTTGCAATGATCCTGGTTGCACCCAAGATAAACCAAGTGCCTTGTTTTCTTCTTCTTCCTATATCCCATAATAAAACACGATTAATAAAAAACAAATGAAAAAAATTTTTAAGCTTCAATAATTTAAAATCACATACTTGTCATTGCTTAAAGCTTTCAAAAATAAATTTAATAAAAATTTAATAGAAATCCTAACATTTCACTAATGTTATAACTTTAGCATTATCAAAGATGACAATATGTATATCATGTCCTAGTAAAAAGATTTTTAGTTTACATATAACTTGAACAATAACAAGTATAAACGAAAATGTTTTTTTAATGATTAAAAATTTAATGATATATATATTTTTATACCTTAGGTTCATAAATTTCTCTTTTAATAGAATTATAAAGTTCATCAACATATGGACTAAACATAATATAGTGAGGATCATCCACTGTAGATGAATTGTAAACTTTATTTAAACTTTCTCTTACACATTTTTTTACACGATCTCGAAATACTTCGAAATTATTCTCTAATCTGTAACACAAATTCAATGTTATGTTTTTTATTTATAATTAATACTTTTTTTTAGATACATACAAATTATATGCTTCATGATTCACAGGATTCATCTTAAGATCTACTTTTGATAGAATTTTTGTTATAAATTGTATCAACTGCCAAATTCTATTACTTTTCCTCCATTCAGGAAATCCCCATAATGTGTTTAATTCTCCAGACACAGGATCGATTAAAGGATGAAAAATTGGAGTTTGAAATGTGACTTTCTATAATATTTGTTCAATATATAATTAAATCAATATTATAATCGAAATGCTATATATATTAGGTAAATTATAATAGGCAATAAATTCTTACAGGACATTCTCCATTTGGAAAATTTTGTGGTAGTGTTATATCAAATCTAAAAATTCCTCCTTGATATATTCCTTGCCGCACAAATTGTACACCAAACCATACTAACACAAAATAAATTCATTATAATTTAATAAATGTATATTACAAACACATATACAAGAAAATGTGGCAAAAAATAAGTCATGCACATATTTACATGTAAACCATTATACAAGACCAAGTCAGGACAAGCAAGACCTAAGAATCAATTCATATTTGACTTAAATAATTTGAATGCAATCTTTCTCATACATAAGATGCATTGAAAAAAAAAAGAATTAATTAATTAACCTATTTGTCTATTTATATTACTTACACAAGGAATTTCGAGCAGATGGTATAACATAAATTCCTTTCAGATCTTGTGAACATAACATGTTACTATTTAAAAATAAGAAATTTTATTCATTTCAGATATTTATATAGCAATAAAAGATATATAAAATAGATTCTGTAAAATTTGATGTACTTATAAAGTTTACTTACTATTCAGATAAAATATTATATTCTTGCAAATAAATCGTATATTCTTTATTAGTTTGTGATACAGTCGGTCTATCGATCATTTTCACAGACATACTTAATTGAGAATCTCCGTTTGTGTTTACAGGTAATAATTTTCTGAACGAGCCTTGTCTTTTCAAATTATCGTCTTTACTATCGTTCTAATATCATTGAAAATCAATTATTATTTTTATGTTTTTATCTATTTTTAACTACTTTCGAATATGAAGAAATATTTGGAAAATATTTAATCAATCTCTTTTTGTTTCTTACCTTTGTTCCCAACATATTGATATTATTAGGGAAAAGACAATCTATAGATAACGTTTAAAATATTAAATACTGAAAATATGTTTCATTATTTTAACAAATAATTGATTTATTATTATTTTTTGTATATTTTCAGTCTACCATTTTTCCTACAATATTTCATCTTTTATATGTGAACAAACATAGAGAAGAAATGATATAGATCTTCCGCTCAATATATTTCTTATATAATATGTTCTATTTGTCGATTATATCAGTGATAATACTATATAACTTCTTTTATAACGTCAAAACGTACTTTAACGAATCAAAATCGTAAACTTTAGATTTCTTGATTTTAAAATTAAATGTTTTATCTTTTGAGAAAAATTAAATTAAAGATTGATGAAATTAACATTATCAATCATTATTGTTTGTTTAATTAAAACAATTTGTGTGATAAATTTCTATTAATTCACACACGCATACACAGACACACACAAATAAATCTTTCATAAAGATCGTAACAGTTGATAATAAGGAATTCAAAAAAAAAGAGAAAAAATATTCGTAACAAATATCACGAATAGCGCCAATAGGTTCTTCACAATCTCTAAAAAAATCCGGCTTTCCGTCTTCATAACGTATATAAACTCTGATTAATATTGAAGTCTGACAACTGTCAAATGACAAATCTGCTTCAAATATTACGTTTCAAAGATTGAAATGGCAGCAGAAATAAAACCTGCACCAGGGGTTAATCATGATAAATTTAGTACAAGTCGAAAACCTATACTTTTATCGAAATTAGAAGGATGCAATGATGATGTCAATGCGGCTATCATTATACCGCGGGAAGATGGTGTAATTAGTGTTTGCGATGACAGGTAAATGAATGTTATTCTTGCTTTAATAAATTGAATTTTGATACAAATTCATGCAATAATTATTTAATAATAGTTGCTTTTTGGCAGTTTACATTATATTATATTTTTAATAAAACATTTTTTTTTACAGAACTGTTAGAGTTTGGTTGAAAAGAGATTCTGGCCACTATTGGCCAAGTGTTTGTCAATATATGGCTGCTGGTGCAACATCGATGCATTATTGTATACAAACTAGACAGTTATTTGTTGGTTTAGAAAATGGAACTATAAATGTATGTATTGTAATCATTCTCTTCAGAGAATTATTAATATTTTCTATATTTTAGAATGAATATGTTAGGTATTACTTTTAGGAATTCATATTAGAACAAGATTATAATCAAATGACTGCTATGCGTGAATATGCTGCACATCAAGCAAGAGTTACAGGTGTTATATTTGCATCAAATTATGAATGGGTATTAAGCATAGGTCGAGATAAAATGTTTCAATTACATTGTTCAGAAACAGGGCAAAAGTTAGGATCATATCAGACAGATGCATGGTACACTGCTTTGCAGTATCCTTTATATATAATAATATATATATAATAATAAAAAATAATTTCTTATTTGTTTAAAATTTATATTTCATTTAAAAAATTTCCATTTTAAATTAAAAATATCTCCTTAACTTATAATTATTAACTATACTTACTATAGATTTGACACACAATCGAAACATGCTTTTGTCGGTGATTATTCTGGACAAATAGCTATGTTGAAATTAGATACTAATGGTGTCACACTAATTACCACATTAAAAACACACACAGGAAGCATTCATACATTAGCATGGGATTCTGAAAAACAACTTTTATTTTCTGGAAGTTTCGATCAAAGTATTATTGTATGGGATATCGGTGGTCGGCAGGGTACAGCATATGAATTACAAGGACATCAGTAAGTTCAAATTTCTATAAATTTCTTCCTAGATAAATTTTTATTCTATAGCATTCCATAATTTTACAGCAATAAAGTAACAGCATTATGCTATGCAAGTGCAGAACGTATGTTATTATCTGGAGGAGAAGATGGTGTAATAGTGTGTTGGGATATGGCTGCAAATAGAAAAGAGACAGCAGCATGGGTAGAATCTGATACATGCCAAGTAAGCAATTTTACAATTATAAGAAATTATAAATCTATACAATCTTTTATTATGTATAGATAAATATTATAATAAATTTAGGCTTGTGGAAGACCATTCTTTTGGAATATTAAAGCAATGATGGATCAACGACAATTAGGTTTGAGACAACATCATTGTCGTCATTGTGGTCGTGCATTATGCGCTCGATGTACATCTCAACGAATACCAATACCTGCAATGGGTTTTGAATTTGAAGTTAGAGTATGTGATCAATGTCATATCCAACTTAAAGCTGCAAAGTAAGTAGAAAGAATAAGATTAAATGTATCTGAAAATGGAACAAACAAGATCAATCTATATTTTATTGATATTATATATTTATTTATTATGCAGCCAAACATCTTTAGCATCATTTCATGATGCAAAGCATAATGTTGTTGGAATGGATCTCGATGCTTCTAGACGAAGATTACTAACTATTGGACAAGATCGTCTTATTAAGATTTGGGATATTTCCGCACTTCTTCAATGAACTTCCAAATATGTTTATTTATAAATAACGAAACTAATCAAATCATAAGGTATAAGAGAAAAATATTGTTATATTTCGATGTAAAAGTATAATATCCAGAGCCTATTTTTACGATCGTTATTGAAATCATTTTAAAATCCGTTTATTTAATCACAAACACTACTAGATTTTTATGTTACAATTTGCTTCTTACATAAAGAAATTCCGAATCTCTAAAATATTTTACAGCATTGAAATAGAATACATAAAAATTGAAAAAAAAAAAAAGAAAAGTATATCAAATACTACTTGCAAATACTCTTCCAGTGGAAAAAAACTCAATAACTTATTCAGCAAATGATAGAAAATAATATATTTTTTTTTTCTCATTTATTGCAATAACATTTATAAATGACCAAAGTATGGATCAATAGATTGAATTTTTAATTAAATTCGTTATAAATATGTTTTAATAAATCATAATACATAAACGGAGTAAATATGAAATGATAATCTTACTTTTTCATTAGAAGCTTAACATAATAATTATGAATAAATTATTTTGATTTTAAGTGAATAAAAAAATATCAAAATTAAGAAATACATTACTTTATATGACATTATGAGAAATTTTATATTTTAAAGTACAAAATTGAATTAAATTATATTTATCTGATTGATATACAGTCAAAAATTATCTTTTTCTTCAGAATACTATGTGCATTATAAAATTATATTATTATTATTATATTATATAATTATTATTATAAATAATTTAATATAAAGATACAACACTTTTGAGGAATTGCTCTAAACTGCCTATTAATTTAAAAAATAATATAATTTGTCTAAACATTGTCAATAACTTTTAGTTTTGTCAATGTTGCTCCTAGTCGTTCTCTTTGTTGCATTCCTAATTATTTATATTATAATTTTTTAAAAACTCCAAGAGTTGATTTATCTGTAAAATGCAATATTTTTTCAAACATATTTTAAAAGGTACAGGTTATGCAAAAATAATAATAATTAGATATTATTACTACTATTACTACTACTACTACTACTGTTAATAATAATAATAATAAAAATAATAATAGTAATAATAACAACAACAACAATAATAATAATTTAAATTATACAAATTATTACATAAATAACATTTTCAAAATTTTAAATACAATTTGAATTAAAATTATGACTACGTTACAATTTTTGTAGAAAAACATAGAGAATTAGAATAGAAAACAGATTTTGACAAAAATATACTATTTATATTCTATTTAATTTTTTTGTGTATTCAATAATTCTATTTAATAATAACATGCATATTTTGTACCTGGATGCATTTACAATTTTTATTATTCAATTACCATAGCAAATATTATTGATTTCTCATCGATACTATAACTAATGATAAAAGCAACTGAGAGAAAAAAAACAACATTTATTATTGGAGCACGTTAAATCAATTAATATACGAGTGCAATTTGAACAAACGTATTATGAATGTTAAATTCGTCTTATGCTTTTTTTAAATATAATTATTTATAAAACAAAGTTATATAAAAAATTATAATGATATTAATATTTTATTCAAAATTAAATGATATATTTTGGAATTAGTTTATATAGTTTATATTCTACGCGTGAATACTTTGCTATGCAATCAGTCTTATTATGCTGAACACAAGCGAAGAGTATTCATCATTTATTAAAAATATATATCTACCAAGAAGCAATACTCTAAATTTAGATATAGAATTTATCATTGCTTCGTTACATCGAATGATAGTAACTTCTTAATTTTAGGAAATAATTTATAATATTCGTTGTGCATTGTAATTATTCATTATCAAAAGACATCGATCAACTGCGTAATTTATGCGGGATCAAAATCAAAATTGTTTAAAATATATACTTTCATTCGTATTTTTATTGTTAAAAATATATAATATCGATAACAAACGATAGTACAGTAATTTGTTATAATTTCCATACAAAAATGTTTGAAATATTCGTAAAAAATAAATCGTTAGAATTATTATTACAAGTATTGTTCTCGTTGCATAAAAAATATTTTATTTATACATATATATAGCACGTTTTTATAAAATTGTTAATTTGCAACGTGCATAACATCGCTAATGTTGTTATTGTTGCCGAAGTTTTCAGTACTTTATGTATTAATGCATATGTTAAAAATTATAAAAATTATTATGTATGTATGTATGTATAACATTCATGTAAAATTCGTATGAAATGAAAAATATATTTTCAATGTAAACGATTTGTTTGCTTTTTTATAATATATCCATTAGTAATAAGAGTATAAAGTAGAATTCCTCGATCGGTAAGAAGATCATTGTTCGAACAGTTTGAAGGACAATGAAAAAAACTATAGATGGTATCGAATCGTACGCAACAGGTTGCAGGTAAATATACACAAGTGAATATGTATTGAAGTGTATGACGTCATGATCGAGATATCGATAAAGAAAGAATCAAGAAAGATTCAGGGAAGCAGATATGAAAGAACTGTTAAAAAATGTAGAATCAATACTTATTAAATGTATGATGATTGGTGGGGTATCGCATAGGTGAAGCCAAACTTGATCATGGTTTAGTTAAAGATAGTTTTTCCACCTCTTTCAGTTGCTTCCACCTGGCACACCCGATTCGAACCGAAACTCCCCGAGTGGACGCGTCAACGTGCCGGTCACGGTCGTGGCCCATTCTCTGAAACAACTACTGTTGCTTTTTGTGTTCTATTTTTCAGTGTAGTCAGTGATCTTTTCTTTTTTCATGTTCGTTGCTTCTTTTAAGCGCTAAGCTTCGACGAGCTTCTCTAGTCACGTCGGACATGAAAAGCGCGCTTCACATCACGTTCAAAGTGTAGTGCAGTGCCTCTTAATGGAGTGTGCCAACATCGTGTAGCCACTTTCGTCGTGTTTTTCGTTACTCGCATAAGGTACGTTTGTATTTATTCATTCTCACGGGAGAATCGTTTACACGAAATGTTCGTTTATTGTAAATAAAAAATATTTAATTTAGAATGATAAAATTTTTTATTGTTCATAACGGATGCTTGGTTGAAAACAAAATTTTTACGCCGCTACGGAAACGCGTCCCTTTTTCCTTTTAGACTAAACGAAGATATTACGTTATAAATAATTGTATTATTACTTATTATGCTATTGTAATGTTAAAAAAAGTATTAATATCTGAATTTTTAAATTTCTATTCAATTGTTGTCTCTATATTTATTCCTTAAATTGCATGTAAATAGCAAAAAGTCTTATATTCGTAAATGAATTTTTTACGTGAAAAATAGTGTTAGAAAAATTTAAAGAAAAATCTAATATCAATATTTCGTGTAATTATAGTTAGTACGTGTAAATATAGCGAGTTTTAAATGTAATAAATAAGATAATAAGTAGTGACGAGATAAGACTAAGATTCAGATAAAAATAATAATATTTTCTTCGTTTTGAATCTTTATTAAGTAATATTTATTAAAAAAATTTATACTTTGCTCATTTAATTTATTCTTTCGATATATTAAGTTTCCTCTATTATTGTTAGTTTTTAATTTTGAGTGTATTTTTTGCGGGAATCACAAGTTCGATCGCGCGAAAAAAAAATGTGAAAAAGATGTTATTTCAATATCGTGTAAAAGTTTAAAAATAGAAATAAAAATTTAACAGAATATGAAAAAAGTTATAATAGAGCGAAGATGCACACGTGGAAAGCGATCATGACGTAAGATATAGACTCGAATAAGCGCAAGCGTGGTGAGTAAACGAGAGGTGTGATTTCAATGCTGTTGTTAGGAAGTACAAATCAAAATTGAACAAGCAATTAAAGAGTAGAATCGACCATTGGATTGTTGAATTTCCATTAATTTTTAATAAATATATTTTTAATAAAATCGCAACAATGTAAAGTATCCTATGCACAAACGCATGTTGTCCGATCGTCCATTAAAGTCTCCCATAAACGGTGTATAGCTACGTTCTCCATTCTCTCGATACGTACATATTTTCAAAGTCAACGACTGCGGCTTTTTTGCGCGTTCATCTTTCAAGTTCAAGGGAAAGCTGTGGAATGGTTTTTTATAACTCGTTCTCTATTTAGTAGATTACAATATATTTGGGCTTTGAATTCAACAGAATTTTTTTTCGAAATTCATTCTTCCTATTTTCTAAGATGGATCAGAAATTAATTCGGAATAAGAATAACGAATTCCGAACGGTTCGTCGATCCAAAAGTTGTTCATGCAAGTATATAATCGAAGGAAACTTATCTATATTTAACTTGATTAACAAAATCAATGCAATGACGCGTAAATTGCAATTCCGTTGTCTCAAGTTCATGAATTCATAGATTTATGAATTCATTAAATATTTCCCTGATTAATCCCTGATTAAGTCGACTCGATTCAATTCTATCAATTTTCTTTCGTAAATTATATCGTTGTAAACAAGAGATCAGAATCGATATAGTAATTGAGATCAATCTTATGGTGAGAATCATCCTCGATGGATGTTCTCGAAAGGTGTTGTACGGCTGAATGGTAGCAACAGAAACTGCCTAACCCACTTTTGCAAACAGGTTTATGCTTGTGCTGCTTCCACTGTAACGGTGATCAGCCGGACATAATCATCGCACGCAGAACAATTTTTCTTCAAATAAATTCGCGTAAGAATGTTCGACATAGACACATGTATGCAACAATAGAGCAAATCAAACGCACTCATTCAATTTCTGTGAAAACGTTTATGCGTTTGTTACCAAAAGTATTGTTCAAAAATATTTTATACAATGACGTTCAACTCTTCCGAAACAATTCCCTTTTTGTTCTGTTATATGAGTGCACGAAAAAAGATAAGAAAAAAATACGAGTGCACAAGCAATGAGAGAACAAGAAGAAAAAGAAAGTTTTGTTTTCTTTCAGGCGGAGTGCCGACAACCACGACTTGAGAGATGGTCATCGTCACGCGGGTAAGTATTATTGCAACAGGTTGTCATATTGCGCTGGTTACTCTTTGCTCTGATTAATAAATTGGTCGATAAATTGTAAAATATATGTATATCGATTAAGATCGAGGAATAAGAAAAATGATCCATGTTCGCACACATTTACATTGTATACCGCTTTCTTCGTCGCATTCTTCAAAGACGGTCACTAGGAATCTGTGACAAGTGAAAATGACGGAGATCAACTATCTCCAGATTCTTTCCTCGTATGAAAAGTCATACTCGGAGGACACGCGTCGAATATCTTTTCATTCAATTAATATTCAAATCTTTTTCTTATTATATCTTCATCTTACTTATCTTCATTGTTCATAAATTAATGAATAATGATGATAGAATTGAAATAAAAACGATATTCAATATTCTCTTGGAAAATCGACCATTCTTCTCTTGAATAGTTAATTTTAATTAAATACGATAGATATTTTACAAAGGTAATTATAAAAAATTCTTTCAAGAATATTGAATTGAAACAAAAGATCTATGTTTTAGATCTACGATCGATCGAAACAAAAATATAAATACGCCAATCGATTAGGCCTCATATCGCGAAGCATCATATCGCGAAATATTAATGCAACATGGAACGAGACGAATGGTCGGTTAATTAGGCATAGTTAACGGTCCTTGGTCACATCGTATATGCCCTGAACAGAGGCTTTTAGCATTTCGCGCGAACGAACCAGCCGTCATATAACGGGACGCGAGTCATTTTACCGGACACGCGTTTGTATCCTCGATATCGTATTCTATTCCTTCCTTGTGGCGCGTGCGCACGCGTCTATAATGCATACTCGTCTATCTTATTTTCTTGCGTTGGTTCCAACTTGTCTTTCGAGATCGGGGAATAAACAGGGAAAGAATCTATTTCGCGATATCAGAGATACATGAGCACGAATCATGATTTTTCATAGACACGGAGAGACGAAAGTAAAACCGACTGACAAAAGAAGAGCCAAATTGAACGGAGATTTGTTTCGAGGTAACGAGCGGACGAGCTCTTCCGATGTTGTTCCGGTGAGGTGAACAATCGGAACGTATACGAATATCAGGTACAGTTTGTGCGCTCGTATAGAGCGTAAGTATCATATCCGTAAAAAGTGTAGGCTAGTTTAGAGGTTCTCAAATAGTCTTTCAACTGGAACGCGTGCGGTTTCCAAGTGATAATACTGATCCGATTTTCTCGTCTATATCTAAGATCGATGAATCGCCGTCACGTAATATTCATTATTAATTTAATCTGCGTGACGATACGAATACGTAGATACATAGATGTATGATGGAAGATATAACTACGGACCATGGATGAAAACAATTTCTCATAGAAATTTGGCGCATGGCTATTTGATCGGTCATTTCCACTCGACCGAATGTAAACCAAAAAAAACTGTTTCGGTCGACACGGTTGATAAATTATTTGCCTACCACAAATTAATGTCGTTTCTAATTCACTTGAAAACTTATCGTTCGACGAAAGATGATCGATCGCATCGCATCGCATCGCATCACGTCTCGTTCGTATAAAGATTGTGCCGTCATAGAAGCCGGAATAATACTCGTTTCTTTGGGTAATTACATTATCGTTTGTGAGGGTAGCAACGACGGTGATTCAAAACAAAGGGAGAAGTTAGACAGAATCCGATCAAATCTCTTCATTTTTAGAAAGTAAATCACGATACGAATTATTGTATCCAATTTTAAATTAATTTAAATTAATTATCTGCTATTATTTTTCAATTGTATAATGTGTAATTTTTTTAACTCCGATACTCGCTATCTATTTTATCGCACGGAAAGAAATAAATAAAAACTGACTTTTCTTCATATTCGAATGCTAAAATTTAAACAATTCTATAGTATACGCGTAAGCATCGTTATTTCCAGAATAGATATAAAAAAACAAAAGGGAAATTACCGATGAAAAAATTACGTTGCAGGGAGATTACATATGGATCGAACCAATCTCAGGGAGAGAATTTGACGTTGCTATCGGAGCACGAGTTATTTCCGCGGAAGGCAGACGCATTCAAGTGAAAGACGACGATAACAAGGTATCAGAATTCTCGACTTGTTTCGAAAAATTGTTATTCGATTTATCTTGTCCATTGAAGATTCCTATAATAATCAATGTATATTACCAATGTAAACACGGATCGATGTAAAAAGATATAAAATGACATTGATATCTTCAGGAACAATGGCTGACTCCAGAGAGGCGAATAAAAGCGATGCATGCCACTTCTGTGCAAGGTGTAGAAGATATGATCAGTTTAGGAGACCTCCATGAAGCGGGCATTTTAAGGAATTTGTTGATCCGTTATAATGAGAATCTCATATACGTAAGCAATTATCTCGAATCTCTTACTTTACTTAATATATTTATATACAAAACATATAAAATTGTAACAAATAAAATTTTTTACATAGACGTACACCGGTTCGATTCTAGTCGCTGTGAATCCATATCAAATATTGCCTATTTATACCGCGGAACAAATCAAATTGTACAAGGATCGTAAAATCGGAGAGCTACCGCCGCATATATTCGCAATTGGAGATAATAGTTACGCACATATGAATCGATATGGTCAAGATCAATGTATAGTGATTAGGTATCGGGCATTGTTTTATTTTATTTTTCTACTTGATTAAATGATTTCGAGCGGCTGCCTCCTTCTTCTCTATACTATTTTTCTATTTAGAAATGGTTTGTCAAATCCACGAATGTTTGTGTCTTAGCGGCGAAAGCGGAGCCGGCAAAACGGAAAGTACGAAACTAATTTTGCAATATTTGGCAGCGATTAGCGGCAAGCATTCTTGGATTGAACAACAAATTCTGGAAGCGAATCCCATCTTAGAAGGTAAATCTCTATATATGTGCACGATGATCATATTATAATGCGAAGATGAAAATTTTCAATTCGATTTTGAATTCTGTTCAGCATTCGGCAATGCTAAGACTGTACGAAACGATAATTCATCACGCTTTGGAAAATATATTGACATTCACTTTAACGAACAAGGAGTAATAGAAGGAGCAAAAATAGAGCAATATTTATTGGAGAAGTCACGAATAGTTTCACAAAGTCTGGACGAAAGAAACTATCATGTATTTTATTGTATGTTGGCTGGTCTTTCGAAAGAAGAGAAGCAAAAGCTAGAATTGGAAGATGCTTCTTCGTACAAGTATTTAACAGGGGTAATGTTTCGTTGAATGTAGAAGAAAAGATGCTTAATATTCCTATTTAAAATCATTCCTTTCTTTTCAGGGTGGTAGTATCACGTGCGAAGGTCGAGACGACGCTGCAGAATTTGCTGACATTAGATCAGCAATGAAGGTTTTACTCTTTTCTGACATGGAAATATGGGAGATACTCAAGCTTCTTGCTGCCTTGTTGCACATGGGAAATGTCAAATACAGAGCTATCGTCGTAGGTAAGACGTGCGATTTTTTATACTGATGATTATTTCATTTGAAATACTTGGTCATCAATCTGGAAAAAATATGAAATGAAAATATAAAAAATGCAATTTCATTGTATTGAAATAATATTAAATTCGAAAAAAACAAATAAATTATAGCAATAGAATCTTTTATGGTGTGAAATAAAAAACGCAACTCTCTATAAATTATTATTATTTAATAATCACGAGTAATCACTGGTTTAATTATTTTAAATAAATTTTTTCAGATAATTTGGACGCTACTGAAATTCCGGAACAAACAAATGTGCAAAGAGTAGCGCATTTATTGGGCGTACCTGTTCAGTCTTTGATAGACGCACTTACTCGTAAAACAATATTCGCTCACGGTGAGACTGTTGTAAGTAAGGAATTATTCGCGTTACGTTCCGATCCAGGGGACGATAAATGCAAAATATCATTGTTAATTCAATAATCGGAGAAAAGTATTCTTCTAATTAAGAATTGTATCCGTAGGTGTCCACGTTGTCAAGAGAACAATCGGTGGATATTAGAGACGCGTTCGTTAAGGGGATATACGGGCGTTTATTCGTGCACATCGTGAAGAAAATAAACGAAGCAATTTACAGGCCCAAGAACACGTCTAGAAGCGCTATAGGTGTACTGGATATATTCGGTTTTGAAAATTTCAGTCACAATAGCTTTGAACAATTTTGCATCAATTACGCGAATGAAAATCTACAACAATTTTTCGTCCAACATATTTTCAAGCTTGAGCAAGAAGAATATAATCACGAAGGTATAAATTGGCAACACATCGAGTTCGTCGACAATCAAGATGCCCTCGATTTGATAGCCATCAAACAATTGAACATTATGGCATTGATCGACGAGGAATCAAAGTTCCCCAAAGGGACGGATCAAACTATGCTAGCCAAGATACACAAAACTCACGGAAGCCATCGGAATTATTTAAAACCAAAATCAGATATCAACACGTCTTTCGGCCTGAATCATTTCGCCGGCGTCGTGTTCTACGATACAAGAAGTTTCCTCGAGAAGAACAGGGATACGTTCAGTGCCGATTTGTTGCAATTGATCCACATATCGTCGAACAAATTTCTACAAGCTTGCTTCGCCGAAGACATAGGTATGGGATCAGAGACGAGAAAAAGAACTCCCACCTTGTCCACTCAGTTCAAAAAATCTTTGGATTCGTTAATGAAAACGTTGTGCAGTTGTCAACCTTTCTTCATTAGGTGTATCAAACCAAACGAATACAAGAAACCGATGATGTTCGACAGAGGCCTTTGTTGCCGACAATTAAGATATTCTGGAATGATGGAAACGATCCGAATCCGCAGAGCCGGTTACCCAATCAGGCATTCCTTTCCGGAGTTCGTCGAGAGATACAGGTTTTTGATACCGGGTATACCACCGGCACACAAAGTAGATTGTCGCGCGGTTACGTCAAAAATTTGTCATATAGTGTTGGGAAAATCGGATTATCAACTCGGGCATACGAAAGTGTTTCTCAAAGATGCCCACGACTTGTTCTTGGAGCAAGAACGCGACCGTGTTTTAACGCGAAAGATCCTAATACTACAGCGCAACATACGTGGTTGGGTTTACAGAAGAAGGTTCCTCCGCATGAGAGCAGCGGCAACAGTGGTGCAAAAATATTGGAGGGGTTACGCGCAACGACAACGATACAAACGCATGCGCATCGGTTACATGCGACTTCAAGCCTTGATCAGATCGCGAGTATTATCTCATAGGTTTAGGCATCTCAGAGGGCACATAGTCGCTCTTCAGGCGCGAGCCAGGGGTTATCTGGTGCGGAAAATGTATCAAAAAAAATTGTGGGCGATCGTGAAGATACAAGCTCATGTTCGAAGGCTGATCGCGCAAAGACGATACAAAAAGATCAAGTACGAGTATCGGTTGCACGTCGAAGCGTTGAGACTTCGAAAGAAAGAGGAACGGGAATTGAAAGATCAAGGTAATAAACGGGCGAAAGAAATTGCCGAGCAAAATTATAGGGAACGAATGCAAGAGTTGGAGAGGAAAGAAATTGAGATGGAATTGGAAGATCGGCGTAGAATGGAAATTAAAAAAAATCTGATAAACGACGCAGCTAAGAAGCAAGACGAACCGGTTGACGATAGCAAATTGGTCGAGGCTATGTTTGACTTCTTGCCGGATTCAAGCAGCGAGGCTCCTACTCCTGCCAGGGAAACTTCTGTATTCAATGATCTTCCCGCTCCAAAAGCGGATCAACAGGAAATCATTAGTCCTGTTCAAACGGCCTCGGAGGATGAGGAGGATTTATCAGAGTTCAAATTCCAAAAATTTGCGGCAACCTATTTCCAAGGGAATATCACGCATCAATATTCGAGAAAGCCGTTGAAGCATCCATTGTTACCTCTGCATACGCAAGGGGATCAGTTAGCCGCGCAAGCTTTATGGATCACGATACTTCGTTTCACCGGAGATTTACCCGAGCCTAGATTTCATACGATGGATAGAGATACGACTTCGGTTATGTCGAAGGTTACAGCCACGCTTGGCCGCAATTTCATTCGAAGCAAAGAATTCCAAGAAGCACAAATGATGGGTGTAGATCCGGAAACGTTTCTCAGACAAAAACCACGATCGATAAGACACAAGTTGGTCTCGTTGACGTTGAAACGAAAAAATAAATTAGGCGAGGATGTGAGACGGAAGTTACAAGAAGACGAATACACAGCGGATAGTTATCAGTCTTGGTTGGAAGCGAGACCCACCTCGAATCTCGAAAAATTGCATTTTATTATTGGTCACGGAATATTACGTGCCGAATTGAGAGACGAGATATATTGTCAAATATGTAAACAACTGACGAATAATCCTTCGAAATCTTCGCACGCTCGCGGTTGGATTTTGCTCTCGCTTTGCGTTGGATGTTTCGCACCGTCCGAGAAATTTGTCAATTATTTGCGAGCATTCATTAGAGAAGGACCACCTGGATATGCACCGTATTGCGAGGATCGACTGAAGAGAACGTTCAACAACGGTACGAGGAATCAACCGCCGAGCTGGTTGGAACTTCAAGCGACAAAATCGAAGAAACCTATCATGTTACCAATCACGTTTATGGATGGTAATACTAAAACATTACTTGCCGATTCTGCAACCACCGCCAGAGAATTGTGCAATCAATTGTCCGATAAAATATCGTTACGTGATCAATTCGGATTCTCTCTTTACATCGCGTTGTTCGATAAAGTATCGTCCCTCGGTAGTGGTGGAGATCACGTGATGGATGCCATTTCTCAATGCGAACAATACGCTAAGGAGCAAGGTGCTCAAGAAAGGAATGCTCCGTGGAGATTGTTCTTCAGAAAAGAAATATTCGCACCTTGGCACGAGCCAACGGAAGATCAAGTCGCTACTAATTTAATTTATCAACAGGTAGTTAGAGGGGTCAAATTTGGCGAGTATCGTTGCGACAAGGAAGAAGATTTAGCAATGATCGCCGCCCAACAATATTACATCGAATATCACACGGACATGAACGTCGATAGGTTATATACTCTTTTGCCGAATTATATTCCAGACTATTGTTTGACGGGTATTGACAAAGCGATCGATAGATGGGGACATCTCGTTTTGCAAGCATACAAAAAGGTGACTATAAATAAATCTATCTTTGCTTCACTCATTTATTAACAATTATCCGAAATGTTTCTTCTTTTAGAGTTATTATTTAAAGGAGAAGGTACCTGCTTTACGCGTTAAAGAAGATATCGTTGGTTATGCCAAATTTAAGTGGCCATTGCTTTTTTCTCGTTTTTACGAAGCATATAGAAATTCTGGCCCGAATTTGCCAAAAAATGATGTTATTATAGCTGTCAATTGGACCGGAGTATACGTCGTAGATGATCAAGAACAAGTACTTCTCGAATTGTCATTTCCCGAGATTACCACCGTGTCTAGTCAGAAGTACGTTTGCTACAGATCTTTATCCATTTTTATCTATTTTCCATTATTTTTTTATTTTATCATCCCGTAACTCCACCGTAATTTTCAGAACTAATAAAATGTTCACGCAAACGTTTAATTTGTCAACGGTGCGAGGAGAAGAATTTACTTTTCAAAGCCCTAATGCCGAGGATATTCGTGATTTGGTGGTATACTTCTTGGAAGGTCTGAAAAAACGTAGTAAATACGTTATCGCTTTGCAAGATTACAAAGCACCAGGTGAAGGTTCCTCGTTTTTGACTTTTCAAAAGGGAGATCTCATCATTTTGGAGGAGGAAAGTACCGGCGAAACTGTTCTTAATTCGGGATGGTGCGTCGGCACATGCGAAAGAACCGGTGAAAAAGGCGATTTTCCAGCCGAGACAGTTTATGTTTTGCCCTCGTTAACGAAACCACCAAACGATATTTTGGTAATCCGAACGCATTTTTTATAAACAATATATACGATATTATTTTTATCTTTCGCCCTATTGTTTACCTTTCTTACATACGTGAAAATAATCTTCTAAAATTATGATCGATTTTTTTTCAGTCCTTGTTCAGCATCGAAGGGACAGAAAATGGCCGAAAATTGTATCCGCAGCAAGTAAATGGAGTAGAATCTCGTGACAAACCTCACACCCTCTTAGAATATGCTATTGATCATTTCCGGTAAATGAAATTTGTATATTCGTAACAAATATTTTATATATACTGTCGTGACAAATAAAAAAAAAATTTATCTCGTTTCAGAACGCCTCCAAAAAGAACAATGTCGAAAGCATTGACGTTGACAACAGCGCGACGTGGCCATACCGATGAGTTGTGGCATCATTCCAGAGATCCGATCAAACAACCTCTTTTAAAGAAGTTGATATCTAAAGAAGAATTAGCCGAAGAAGCGTGTTTTGCTTTTAACGCGATCTTAAAATACATGGGTGATCTACCAACAAAAAGACCTCGAATCGGTAACGAGTATACCGATCTTATTTTCGATGGACCATTAAAGAACGAAATTCTTCGGGACGAAATTTATTGTCAAGTCATGAAACAATTAACAGATAATCGGAATAGATTGAGCGAAGAGCGCGGATGGGAATTAATGTGGCTAGCCACTGGTCTTTTTACTTGTAGTCAAAGTCTTTTGAAGGTAATATATCATACACAAATGATATTCGTAATATTTGCTACAAATAAAATGTGATCCTGTTATATCATTCCTGTTTCTATTCATTCGCAGGAATTAACTTTATTCTTGCGTACGAGACGACATCCTATATCCCAGGATTCTCTACAAAGGCTACAAAAAACTTTACGTAATGGCCAGCGAAAATATCCTCCACATCAAGTAGAAGTGGAAGCTATACAGCACAAAACGACACAAATATTCCATAAAGTTTATTTTCCCGACGATACAGACGAGGTACGTATAATATACTCTAAATATCTATAAATTTTATTTTTTTTATTCATTTTATGAATGAACAATTATACAAAATTTATAACTAATCATTCTCTAATTTATTTTTATACAGGCATTTGAAGTAGATTCATCAACGAGAGCTAAAGATTTTTGTCAAAACATTGCGCAAAGATTAAATTTACGATCCGCAGAAGGATTTAGTCTTTTTGTGAAGATTGCTGACAAAGTCATCTCAGTTCCGGAAGGGGATTTCTTTTTCGATTTTGTACGGCATTTGACAGATTGGATAAGAAAAGCTAGACCGTCTCGTGATGGTAGAGATTTTATAAATCTTTTTTTAAACAAAAAAGTGACAAAAGAATAATATTTATAAAATTCATGTATTTTGCTTAGGCGTATCACCCCAATTTACGTATCAAGTCTTTTTTATGAAAAAGTTGTGGACCAATACTGTTCCTGGTAAGGATAGAAACGCAGACCTCATTTTCCACTTTCATCAAGAACTTCCTAAATTATTAAGAGGTGAGAATCACTTCTTTTTCTCAAATCATTATTCGTTTCGATCATATTATATAATTGTACTTATTTATCTACTTTTTATAGGGTATCATAAATGTACAAAAGAAGAAGCATCGAGATTAGCAGCATTGGTGTACAGAGTTCGTTTTGGTGAGAGTAAACAGGAACTTCAAGCGATTCCGTAAGTGAATATTATATATAAGCAAAATATTATATTTAAAGATAAGACAAATAGGATTCTTTGCAGGCAAATGTTAAGAGAACTTATACCCGGCGATTTAGTGAAGGTACAAAGTTCCAATGATTGGAAAAGATCGATAATAGCAGCATATAATCAAGATGCTGGTGAGATATTATTTCAATTTAAATCCATGTTATTTTAAATCGAAACTATGATTCTCTCTCTCTCTCTCTCTCTCTCTATATATATATATATATATATATATATATGATAAATAAATATTTCGTTATATATAGGTATGAGCCCAGAAGATGCTAAAATAACATTTTTGAAAATTGTTTATCGATGGCCAACTTTTGGTTCGGCATTTTTTGAAGTTAAACAAAGTACAGAACCAAATTATCCGGAATTATTGTTAATTGCTATCAATAAACATGGTGTAAGTCTTATACATCCACAAACGAAAGTAAGTAATCATCTATTTCTGTTATTTATAATCACGAATTATAATTAATAAAATATTTCACTATAAACATTTTGTATTTTTAGGATATATTAGTAACGCATCCTTTTACCAGAATTTCAAATTGGTCGTCAGGTAATACTTATTTTCATATGACGATAGGAAATTTAGTTCGAGGTTCCAAATTATTGTGCGAAACTTCACTTGGATATAAAATGGATGATCTTTTAACTTCATATATTTCGTTAATGCTTACAAATATGAATAAGCAACGTACAATACGGATAAAATAAATGTGATTTTATTGAACTATTTTAAACGGTGATTGATGATTAAATGTGCGCAAGATGAGAATGTGAATGAGGAATGTTAAGAAAATATTAAAATAGTCAAGACTAAGAAATATCAGATAATTCAATAATTAAAAATTTTCGATTTTCATGCTATTTATCAAATTAATTTTATATTAATTATAGAAAATATATTTAAATATTAATCCATTTCAACATAACAATAGATAATTCTGTACTTATAGATACACTCGAATAATTTTTCACAGAAAGAACGTTGCCAAGCACAATAGAAAATCTCGTATAGTAATAATAATATATCCTTAAACGTTTCTATAATAAGAAACGTTTTATATACATATATGTTTTTGTTATAAATTTTTTATTATATATACATATAAGTATATACAATATATTCACGTTACTGTTTTTACTGTTATTGTATCCATTGTCGTTCAAGTTTCGTTAATATGATAATGTTTGAGAATATAAAGGGGATTATGATGCACGTGTACACAAATAATTAGTTAAAAAAATTTGTATATGATTTATTTACAAATAAGATTTTTCATATAATTTTGTAAAATATTATTTTAACATATAGGAAAAAGAAATATACAATGAAAGAAGTTCACATTCAAACGTATTCTATCATTTTGAATTGGAGATATATATAAATTGGGATGTATATATAATTAATATTATGTGTAATCTAAAATAATTCTATATTTGCAAAAAATTATTCAAAAATGTAGAATTTACGTTCGAATGTGTACTTAAAATAATTTTCTAATGAAACGTAATGATTACTCAATAATTATCCGTCCACTGATACATGTAAGGATGTAATTATTAACTTAAAAAATTTATTACTGTGAATAAAGATAATCATGTTCTTCAGGTACTTGGTGCAAATTTTAATCGTGGGTAAATTCCCATAGTATACATATACCGACATTCCTCTTTTACAATGGATCTCTTCAGGAAGACAATTCCCAAAGCGATCTTATCTCACTTCCTGCTGCAAATAATTATATTCGATGGTATCTGGAAAAGAACTCATACCAAATTGAAAAATCAAGAAATGAATTGTTTCTGATAGATAATTTCTAGTTTCCATTTTAATAAAATTCCATTATTTTGATCGAAATGTATTACCGTATTTTGTATATAACAATGTCTCACTTTCTTCATATTTCCAACAAATTCAGTTAAAAACAGTATTATTTCTTTGATCCAACTCGATACATTAATAGTTCTGGTTGTCTCTACTATTGAATCTTGGGATTTGGAAATAATGTATAGGTAATAGAGTAAAGATTTTATTATATAAATCTTTTCAATTTATTGCAAAACATAGAGAGACATAAAAACGTATATATACTACTTAAACTTTTCTTTTGTTTCATCCATTTAAAATGCACCAATACATATTTTCAAGTGAACAAGCATATTGTCGTCTCTGCAGATTGATACCAAAAATTTTTATCACAATTGAAAAATTAAGGTATTGATAATCAGTGAGATTAATAAAAAGCGTGCATAATATTTGTTTACATTAATAAGCAATCAAAAGTTTCATCGACGAAATAATACAATTATTATAATAAATAATCGGTACGAAAAAATTAATAATTGAATAATTCAATTGAATAGCGCACAAAGTCAACCGATATAACATATTATAATTTTAAATTATAAAATGGATTCATTTTTTCTGTAAAACTAGAATGATTTCTATACATGAATAAAATACTTTACAAAAGTAATAGTAATCATTTGTCGGTTGACTTATAAAAAATAAATTAATAATTAATAATTTAATTTTAATCCGCGATAGCAAGTTATCTATTTTTTTCAATAAAAACGAATGTTTTTTTAAAAAAATCGATTATTTTTAAATTTGATATATGTAAAAATATCAGCAAGATCACGCTAAAAATTATATATACGAATATAATATACATTGTATGTCACATATCGTTTTTATTCACGATATTTCTGATGTCAACGGTCAATTTTAAGCCAAACAAGATCTCTTCGATAAAAAGATCTTTCAAGTAAAAAATTAGCAATAATCGACGAAAAATGTATACTCATTTTCAGCGATCGATATGTAATTGCAGTCTGGCAATTGCCGTATTCTGATAATTGAATTGATATTACGAAAGGATATCAATTCGTTTTATCATTTCATAGACGAACAAATTTTTTTTAAATTTGCGCGCTCTCCCTTCCCCTCCCATTCCTTTCATAACTTTTTACTCACTAATTAGCTAAATATTCACATTCGTAGAAAGCTCTTAATCCTAAAATCGCTATAAATTTTAATCCCTGTGTAATTCTGTATTAACACTTAAAGCTAGGAACCTACATATTTATAAACATAGGGAAACGATTCTCGGCTCAGCACTGTACATATGTAGTACCCACAAAAGGCAACATAATATAACGCAATGGATCGCAACGCAATGCAACGAAGCGGTTGCTATGTGCTGCTTTTCGTATCATTCAAACTCGTCGTGTTATTGACTCGATGCAACAGGTCTTTCGTTGTATAAGTGATGGTTGAGTTAGCATTATTGCTGATCGACTCGGTATCGATAGAAACAATAGGAATATCGTTCGAAAAATGAACAGAAACGTTCGAAACAGTGTTCGTTTCACTAACTCGTAAACTTTGGTGATGCGCACTGTAATTGTCAAGAAAACATCAGAGACCCGATTGAGGAGGTTGATGAGTGTTCCAAGGTACATCCGCGATTGCAGGTGGCATGCTCGCTTGATTGTGCATGGCACGCGGCGCTCTCATAATTTCATCTGCGGGCGGGCAGTGAGGTCGAGGACCAGGTTCTGGAGTATAGGTGAACGTCAGACCAGTTGCATAGATGATACCATCGTTGCGAACTAACGAGACAGGTACCTGAGTTGGTTGTCGTACCCAAAGCCATTCGCCCCTAAATTGTGATATGTCTGGTACTACGCAAAGCATGCTTTCTTGACATCTGTACATAGTTTCTGCTTCCACATCCCCAAACCACACCTGAAGATTAGGCGTAAAATTATCTCCAGTCAATTCAAGCATTGCAACGTCCCCGCCACCGTTCAAGTGTAAACTGTGGACCAATGGTACTGGCGTCACTGGTGATCTAACCGGACCCATACCCTCAAAAAATTGATATTCTGCCTTGTCAGTGCTAATTATTGTCCAACAGGCACCATCGTTTATCATCTCTTTGTTTGCTTCTTTTGGACAAGGAGTAGCCTGAAATTGGATAATACGTTCTTGAGACAAACAGAGATACATGTGATCCGTGTCTTTCATATAGAAGGCGCATTTATGCAACTGCGAAACGGGATCATCAGCCTCTAGACTAGCCATTTGTTTGTCCACTTTTCGAATTACTAGACGTGGAAGCGCCATTCCCGTTACAGAACATACCAATTTCACTGTACTACCGTAATGTACGTAACCATCTCGTACTTGAAACTCTTCCGACTCACTCTCGTTATCGTCCAATAGGTGTATAGTAAATGCACCCCACTGCGTAGAACTTGCATGAAAATTTCCGTTCTCTACGTGAAGATAACGCGTACTAACTGTTTGAGATCGTAACCGATTGAATAGGGCAACCTTTGTTCCGCTCGCTATACACAGATCAGCGTTTTTTAAAGATTGTTTTTTCTTCGACGGTTTCGAGATCACTTTGATTCTTTTACTATGAAACACACCGATATCATGTCCGCTACCATAAAACATTTTCACCGAAAGCATAAAATGCTTTCTCTTATCCGAGTCCGAAATATAAAGTGTCTTTGCCGCGCAATACTGTTTACCATTGTTCAAATCGAGCTGTTGCATATCTTGATCGGAATTACCGATTCCGATAAACGCGCACAGTTGAGCGGACTGCTCGCTCTCTCCTTCTCGAAGCATCTGTTCCTGACGCATTCTCCATCCATCTCCAAACAAATAGATACATGGTGGAGGACAGAAGAATCGTTTTTCGTTACCATACGATTTTTGCGCAACTTTCGCATGAAGGATTACAATAACCATGTCGCTTCTATCGCGCAAATACCGTTCCATTGCTTCGCGTGTCAACCTTTGATCTTGGTGATCCGGTCTATAAACACCGGATCCGAATCGAGGGTAAACTGACATAACCGAAGTCGGCGAAGGAGGAGACTGCATTCCATGTGCCATCGTGGGCAAACCAAACTGGTGTGGCATATTTAACCTTCACTTCGATTCTCTCGACTATACAATAGAGTTGTTAGGTTGCTTGAAGATTATCCTTGTCATCTATGCATGTCATAATTATCTTTGCCCCTTTACCTGAAATACATTACATTATAACTAATTACAATCAATATTATTTTCCATCATCTATCATCTATCATTCTATCATTCTACCATATATTATATATTTTTTTAAATTTTATATTAATTAAATATTAAAAGAGTAAAAGTATTATCAAATCAAATTCAAATGAAATATATCTTATAAATTATATATATTATTATAATTTGTTACTGCAAATATTAGAATACTATATAAAAAAATATAATAATATTGTGATATAAAATAAATATTGGTTTTTTACTATGTATATTTGGATAAGCATAGAATCATACAATTTTGTTCATTTAAAAGCTTAGTGTGGGAAAGATTTTTGTTTTTTTACAATGCAAGATATAATTAACGTAAGGTATCTTTCTTTAAACGAGCTACTAAGAATTGTTAGTCTTAGTACAGGAAAGAGGAAATGTACATATATACTGTGGGAACCAAGCTGAGCTCATTTTTCCTGCATGAATTAAATCACCTTGTTCGTTGTGTCTATACAATTATATCTATGTACTTGTAAATATAAAGATGTTCGCTGATTAATTTTATCTATTAAAATAATTTTTTCAAACATATTTTAATTTTTGAATATCATAACTATCATTAAATTAAATTATATATTTCCATAAATTTTATAAAACAAGAAAGTCACAATAATATTATAAAAATGGAAAACTATTCCTAATAAAATAAAAATTACAATGCTAATTGTTTGTTATAAGTTACGTATACTTAATTAAATGCATAGTGAATAAAATTACAAATACATCTTTTCATGTGAAACTGCAGATACAAACTATTTTTGTATTGTAAATATTGTAAAAACTTATATTATTATATAAATGACAAAGTGATTTAAATTCTATATATGTACATATAAAGTATTGTATAAAGTATTATATGCACATATGTAATTTTACACTATAGAAAAAATAAAGAATGATACTCTTGTATAGATTTTCTTATTAAAGAACATTATGAAAATGAAAAATTTAAATTTTTTTATATTTGATTTAATGACAGAAATTAAACATTATGATTATTCATCGTAAATTTTTTTAATTTCATAAATAAATTAACAATATTTATAAATAAAAAATCCATATACATTTTTTAATTAATATTTAAAAAACTGTTTATTTACTTTTTTGATGCAAAGGTTACACCGAACAAAAAACAGGTTACGTTTTTAATATTTACCTTATTTTTCAACTCGATTCGAAACATAAATCCCAATGCATTTTTTTAAATTATTATTAGTTATTCACAAGTATCACATTATTCCTCGATTCTTCACCATTCGCAAATCCTTTTGCGTCCTCGTCACCTATTCTCCCTAATCCATTCAAAAAACACCTGTTCACTTTCCGAATTTTCCGAACAGTCTTACCAACTCACAGAAGTGGTTTAACCGCGCGCGCCACTTTAAATCCAAAATACTATTTCGAAATTCCGTTTGAAATTAATTATAATTATAGTTGGATACATATTATTTTATTACCTTATTCTGATCTATCTTTTTCTAGTTTTGTTATTTTCAACTAAACAACGAACGATAAACTCATTTTGACAAATTTTCAAAGAAACGTTAATAGAACTTACTCCTACAATATTCGCCGAGTAACTAAGTTCGAAACGATAACGTAGAGTTATTACTACCCGCGTAAGTGGCTCGAACAGGTATGTATTAATAAGAGGTGCCTATAAAACCCTTGATATTAATGCAATTATTATTCATTTAAATATTTAAATCGCATGTTTTTTTCTTTTTTTTATTAGTAATAAATATAAAATTTAAATTTTCAATATGAAGAAATAAAAAGAAATACTGAATAACAAAAGAAAAAGAAAATTAAATGTTATTCTATTTTAATCAAATATTTTATCAAATTATATTTTATATTTTACATAAAATAAAAATATGAATATATTATTTTTAATTTATTTAAAAAATATTTATAAAATTTTAATCAAAAAAATTTCAAGAGTTGGAATAGTTACGTTACTGAACTGTTGATTCTATTGTTTTACTGTTGTACAATGGCCTGGTCGACCCAAGCGCCTCCAGTTTCCCTTCTTGTTCCCCACCTGACGTGAGCTACACCCCTCTACTCCGTACGTGCCGTGGAATTGCTGCCGCAAAAGGATGTTGGGGTTACCCTGGGGGGCGTGGGAAAAACCTGCTGTGGGAAAGAGTGGGTGGCCTCTACCTCACTTCACTTCTCTCATGATGACGATACGATATACATATACATCATGTTTATGAGTGTGTATATGCGCATAGCTAGACAAGCCACACACAACTATATATTTCACATATCGCGTTAGATAGTTGTATTCGAGTCACACGAATGGCCATCAGCCTGATACTGCGTAATATAGGACGAGTATGCGTGGATAGACAAATTAACGTTATAAACTTACCTTTTATTGCATCGAAAGCCTAGATTTTCAATTAAATATAATTTTTAATTGGCAAACATTATTGTAAAAAACATGTATTATGTATCCTCATAGATTTTGTCTATTTAAATATCATTTAATCTATTTTCTATATATTTTATATATATACATACATAGAAATTTTTAGAAAATTTTATATAATTTAAATAATTTTTTTAATTCGTTATTAAAAATTAGTCAATTATAATAAGTATTTTTATGTTAAATATAATATTATTTATTTTATATATAAAAATGTTTTATATATAAAAATATTTTATATATAAAAAATTTCATAATTTTATTTAATCAAATAATAAATTTGATAAAATTATGTTTTTCATTTGTAAATGTAAATATAACAATTTATAAAAATATAATTTTAAATAAGATAATTTAAAACTCAGGAAATATTATTACTTTATGATAATTGAAATATATAAACGAATTTAAAATAATATGATTAAAATATTTCTTTTCTCACAATTTAGAATAATTTTTAGAATGTATTACAAATTTTGAATGTACTACATCACATACAAATATAAATGTAGTACATATGAATAATGATATGAATAATATATATGAATATATTATTTTGATCAGCTGATTTAAGCTAACTTGCTACTGCGACTAACTTCTACTGCGACATCTGTAAGCATGCGGATTCGAATCATTGAAAAATTAAAACTATATAAAAAGTAAATAACTTAATGATTCTTTTATATATTTAATGATTCTTACATATAAAATTACTATATATATTATATATAAGTAAGTATTTTCACAATATTTTATATTATTTTATATTTTTATATATAATTATAATAGGTTATAATGCATTATAAATATATACTATAAATAATTGTTTTTTTAATTTCTAAGCAAATATTCTAATTTATAAACGAATACTGTACTTAAAATGTAAAAGATAATTTTTGTATTTTCATAATCTTGAATATAGTAGTTTTATTAAATAAATATTGTGCATATTGTATATATATTAATCAAAGAATATTTAATTTATGTTATCAATATAATATAATTAATACATAATTAATATAATTTTATTATATAATTTATTATTATAGGTTTGTTGTTTTAAATAATGGGTGTTTATGGTTTATGGCGTTTACTTAATGCAACAGGAGAACAAGTGCCTTTAGAAACATTGGAAGGAAAAATCTTAGCTATTGGTAAAAAAATTTTAATTTTAATATTAATAATTTATTATATTAATATAGTATACTTTATATAATATAATATAATATACTTACAATTAATGTCTACTTACATATAATAAATATTTTGTGATTCTTATATAGATATATCAATTTGGATACATCAAGTATTACAAGGATATCAGGACCGTTTTGGTAACCCGAAACCCAATGCTCATCTTATTGGTTTATTTCATAGAATTTGCAAACTTTTGTATTATAAAATTAAACCAGTTTTTGTTTTTGATGGAGGTGTGCCAATGCTTAAAAAAAATACAACTGTAAATATACTTTTAATTAAATCTTGATTTTTTAAAAGCATAAATTAAAAAATATTTATTAAAAATATCAATTAAAATATAATTAGTTAATTTCATTTAACTTTCTAATTATCTAAGTTATTATATATTTCAATATTACATACATTGTATATGCATGCATTAATGAAACTGTACTTTTATCTTGATTATAATATTGTCTGTATATAATTAGTTTACTGTGGGAACCAGGTAGTGAGAAAAGAGGTTCTTATTCCTTTGTGTTCACAGGCTTTACGCAGGAAACAGAAATCTATGGCCAAGAATAAAGCCCAACAGATGAGGACAGAATTAATAAATAATTTAATAAAACATTCTACGGTAAAAACAGCACTTAACATTGAGATGCAAAATAATACAAATGAATCTTCTGAAGTAATTATAAGTTTGCAAAATAAACAAACTGTGGATGATATGTTTAAATTACCAAATATGCCAAGCACAAGTAAGGCAGAATCAAGTTCTAATGATGTTTATGATTCTGATTCTTCTGATGAATTGAGTCCGCGTAAACAAACAAAATGGATTGGAAATATTCATAATGTAGATGTAACTAGCGCTGAATTTAAAGATTTACCAGCTGATGTGCGTTATGAAATTCTAACTGATTTGAAAGAAACAAGAAAACAAAGTTCATGGGGACGTTTGCATGAGATGCCTGAAGTATATATTTTTATTCATGTAAATATTTTGAATTTACTTCAATATTTATATGATATATTTTTATTTAGGAATCAAATGAATTTTCTGGTTTCCAAATGAAACGTTTGTTAAAAAGAAGATTAGTACAACAAAGTTTGGAAAATGCAGAAAAAGAAATGGGAGGAAAAACACTTACATTAGAAGAATTAGATAAATTATTAAAAGAACAGGGGATACCTACAGATATTCAAAATTATACCCATCGCATTGCTGCAGACAATACAACTAGATTAATTTATATTAGTGGTATTTTATTAATTTTTATCATTGAAACCGAAATTAATTCTTCTTTATTTGTTTCTTTATCCTTATAAATTTTATATTGTAGATAAAAATGCATACTTTAAAAACAAAAATAATGTTAATTCAAATAACGAAAGTACACAGAATAATGAACATAAAATAGATGAAGTTATTGCTGGGCCTAGTAAATCTACATCGATTCGTGATGATATAAATGAATATGAACTTAATGATAATTGGGACAGCGATATTGAAATAACAGCTACAAATAATTTTAAATTCATAAGTGAAATGAATAACGATACAGAATCGGAAACAGAATCAAGGGAATCACGAACATTATCGAAAAAATATTTGAAACAAAATGTTATGAATCCTGCATTAACATATATGTTGGAATATAGTGGATTGACAGAAAAACAAATTCTTACTCTTCTTGAAAATAATGGAGAAATGTGTAAAAATGTTAAAAATGCTTCAAGAATATCAGAACAAACTGATTCACATAAAATAGATAATTGTGACAATAAAAATAATTTTTTAAATGCGCAACATTTAAATCCAAAGTCTGAAAACGATAAAAAGTATACGAAATTCGATTGTACAAATGTTGTAGAATCAATTGATGAATCAAAAATATTATCAGAAACAAATACTGAAACAAACATAAATTTATCTCCAATTAAAATTGCGAACATTTCAAACAAAGCACAATTTGAATCAGAAACTGCAATAATAATTAATTCAACAGATTCAGATTCAGATTCAGATGATTTTATAGAAATTAAAGATATACCAGCATCAAAAGAGAACACTATTATTAATAATTATGTTTCACAACAAAGTATTCAAATAACATTTAAATCTGATGAAAAAGTAGAAGATGATATGTTTGCAGATATATTTGAAACATCAAATAACAAATTAAACTTGGATAAAGAAACATCTAAAAATAAAATTACTTTTGAAAAAGAAGTTATAGAATCAACAAAGAATCAAATTAAAGATAATCAATTATTTAATGCAAAGAAATTTGATAATATCAATAAGCAATCAGATATTGACATTGATCTGAATATTTTAAACACAAATGTACAATTAAAAGAAAATCAAATAGAAGACAAAATTAATATTGAAAAAGTGACAAATGTTTCAAAGAATAATATAGAAAATACAAATATTAAAGATGATATAAATATTAATACATTGTCAAATCCTATAGAAAAAATAAGTCCTATACCTATGAATGAAAATGAATTGCTATCTTTACAAGTAAGTATATATATAGATTAGATGATCACATATACGCAAATATTTTATTATTAAAATATTTAGTATACTTTAATTTCAGGCCCAACTAGAGGATAAGCAAACAGAATTAATTGCAAATATTGGTAAATTAGAAAGACAAGGTATCGATATTTCTGATCAAATACGAATCGAAGCTCAGGTATTATGTTATAATAAAATTTTAATAAATAAGTAAATTAGTAAATTTAATAAATTATTAACAAACGCATTTATTTTTTTCAATATAATATTTATAGGAATTATTACAATTATTTGGAATACCATATTTAGTAGCGCCCATGGAAGCAGAAGCGCAATGTGCATATTTAGAACAAATTCATCTTACCGATGGTACAATTACAGATGATTCGGATATTTGGCTGTTTGGAGGACAATGTGTTTATAAAAATTTTTTCGACAACAATAAAAAAGTTCTTGAATTTCGTGCTTGCAACATACAACGTTATTTTAGTGAGTTTTATTATCTTTTTAATTAAAAAAAATATACTTGTGTTTAAATTAGTCTTTATTTGTTTTAGAATTAACGCGAAATGAAATGATACGTCTTGCCCTCTTAGTTGGGAGTGATTATACTACAGGTTTGACTGGTATTGGTCCTGTTACTGCTTTAGAAATATTAGCAGCATTTCCTTCAGAAGGTGACAATTTATTACAAGGCTTAGTAAATTTTTGTTCTTGGATCGAAAATGGTAAAGCTACTGGTCCTGGAAAAACGAGTTTACGAACCAAATTACAAAATTTAGAAATTCAGAAAGGTATACAAAGTTAACTTCTCTTATTATTATCTTATAAAATACATTATTGTTTTTATCTACAGGTTTTCCAAATCAAGCTGTTGTTCAAGCATATCTTTCACCAATGGTGGACGAATCAAAAGAAACTTTCAGTTGGGGTAAACCTAATATTATACTTTTAGGCGATTATGCAAAACAAAAATTTGGTTGGGACAAAGATAAATATAACAAAATTATAACGCCAGTATTGAACAGATTAAAAGAGAAGCAAATCCAAAATAAAATAGATGCATATTTTAAATTACAAACTATTCCAAAATCAATCGAAATAAATTTAAGCCAACGAGTACAGAAAGCTGTGGAAAAATTAAATAACGATAATATAAAAGATTTTAAACGCATTGAAAATTTGCAATCATTGAAGAAACAAAAATCTTCGAATGAAAATCAAAAGAAAAGGAAGGAATTGAAAAATGAACAAACTTTAACTGGTAGCGCTAAGCCTAAAATTTTTTCTGTTCCTTCTTTTAACGAAAAAAATGTCGATGAATATATTCCGCAAAGAGAACATGATAAAGCAAATGCTTTAAAAAATAAATTACATGCGATCGAGGTACTTCGAAAATCTAAACAAGGATTATACAAAACGAAAAAAATAAAGCGTTGTGTACGAAAAATAAAGAAAGAAGCTGAACTTTCAGAAAGTGATAGTAGTAGTTCATAATTTTATTTAAATATATTATATTATTCTATTTTTAATGTAATTTTAATGTAAATTTAAATTATCGAATGATACATCTTAAAATATTATTTTTATTTATTAAAAATTAAATGAAAGTATGTATATTTTTTTAAGATAAATTATTAATATACACATAACATTTATTTTACATTTAAATTTACACCTTTAGCAAATAGTTTTACATGTAACAATATTAATATTACTTGATACTTATATTTTTCGAATACTTTAAAAAAATTAATTTAAAATTTATTTTATATCGATATATATATATACATATATATATATATATATATATATATATATATATACATATACATATATATATATACATATATATACATATATATATACATATATATACATATATATATACATATATACATATATATATATACACTAATACTTCTTATTTAAATAATTTTTTAAGATTCTATTGTCACATTTCTTTGATTAAAGAATTATTATTTATTATAGAATACAGATATTCACTAGGATGCGGCATTTATAAGACTCGCAACGATCATTTGAGACTTACAGTTTTCATAGTTAGATCGTACGATTATGTGCATTGCATTATTAGAAAGATAAACTAATATTTTATCACAACAATGTCGTATCACTTGCGTATATAGCAACATTATTTTTTATCTATGCACTGAGTCATTTTATTTGCTATTTTGTTGATGGGTAAAAAAACTTAAATAATTACTTAAAAACCAGCAGTTTTTCCTTCTCTTCGAAAATCCGAAGTAGCAAATATTTGTCCATTTTGTTTAGATATAGCCGTAATTGCACTACCAATTCCCGTATAAGTTGTAATATTATGTCCAATATTCGATAAATAATTTAATATATCTGTAGAAAATCCTTGTTCATGTTGAACAATCATTGGTAATAGCTATAATTTGAAAAAATTTATAATTAATTAGAAATATATAATATATCAGACGATTGAATCGAAATTTGATCTTACTTGATGATGAATTCTAGGTACATCAATAGCTTGTCTTATATCATATCCTGACCAAAGATTTAATACCATTGCTGTTGCAATTGAGGTGATGATTTTAGTTCCACCTGCAGCACCAATTACTAAGCGGACATGTTCATCTTTATCTACCTTTATAAAAAAAAAAAAAAAATGAAAAAAAAATCAAATATTGATTTTATATATATATATATATATACCTATATAATATTATCTCGTCATTTACAAAATGTATGCTTACAACAATTGTCGGGCTCATAGAACTCAAAGGTCTTTTTCCAGGCTTAATAAAATTTGCTGGCGAAGGTGGTACACCGAATGCATTAGTTATATTTGGGGAGCTAAAATCATCCATTTCATCATTAAATATTATGCCAGTCGATTCTGAACGTATCATTGCTCCAAAACTGTCAAATTAATAATTAAAATTAGAAATATTTTTTTGTTTATATAAGTATACGCGTTTTCGAAATTGATATTTATTTGAAAAATCGAAATCGAAATTGTTAATACAAATAAATAATAAACTTGACTAACACTTGATTTATCGTTGATGTAACAGATACAGCAGATCCATCGGGAGCCAAAACGGAGATGTGAGACGTTCCTGAATCGTCTGGTGGAACAGTAATAGCACCATAATAAGTCGGATCGTTACTTGTTTCGTTTATTTTAATTTTCTTTCGAATCATATTTGCATAATCAACAGATGTCAAATTATTAAGTACTTGGGCTGGAAAAAAAATTATCAATTATTATAATTTATCATTAATCAAATGAGAAATATTTTTTTAATAAAATTTTTTTAATAAAAGAAAATTAGATAAGAATTAAGAATAAACCTAATAAATATATTAGCTGCGATAAGTATCATCATATCATCATTAATTCTATTCTTGTTTGTTTCTATGAACTGATTCTAAATTTGCTTTTATCGTATACTCTTATCGTATACTCTTATCTAAAGTAATTTAAATTGATGTTCAAATGATTTGTTACGTAACTAATAAAAATTGCTTTTTATTTATATGTATACTTATCACATGTAACAGTGACTATGCAGTGATAACATAAATTGCCGACTCACTGATATCAATGAAATCAGGATCAGCTAATTTCGTTCTTTTAGCATAAGCCCATTTAAACGTCTCGATTATATTTTGCCATGTAATTCGATTGTCCTGATTTGGAATTATACCGTAGAGAACATTCATAATAAAAGTTAGCAGCGCTCCTGAACTAGGTGGCGGTGCGGTATAGATGGTTAAATTCCCGATTGTTGATTTAATCGGTTTCCTCCATTTTACTCTATAACACGACACTCGTATATATACACGTACACGTACGTATTTCGATTTGAATCGCTTTTAGAAGGTTTATAAAAAATTCATGCATTCATACTTATAATTTACGAAATCCTCCCTCTTTATGATACCTTTGAAAGCACTGATCTCTTTGACTAAATTATCAGTCATATTGCCATTGTAAAATATATCGGGTCCATTAATCGCGATCAATTTTAATGTTTCTGCCAAACGTGGTCTTTTTATTCTATCGCCTACCTGAAACAAACGAAATTCTATATAGTCCTCTATCGAGATCGTGAAATATAGGAGAGAGAAAGAAAAAACATAAACATTCACCTTCCATAACGAATTGGTAGTAGGATTTATAAGGATTTCGGCCAACGATTTTTCCGCTCTTATCGAAGATTCTTTACTGGTTAAATATGATTCCAAATATTTAGTCACGATAGATCCAGTGGCGCACAGAGAAATAATCGGCTCGAATAGATCGAACCATTTCAATTTTCCATATTTTTTATGGGCTTCCCAATACCCAAGAAGTTCGCCTGGTACTGCAACGGCTAAACCACCTTAGTAGGGGCGTATCGTGGGATATTAATATTGGCGTTAACACGTGGGCACACACGCGTGATAATGATAAAAAAAAAAATGTTAACATTTTACCAAACATCGCTAATTGAGGATCTCCGTGAAACATGTTCTCATTTGCATCAAGTGGAGCGATCTCCCTTGCATCCAAATAATCGGCAGTTTTGTTAGATGCATCCCAAATGGTCATTAAAAATCCACCGCCCAATCCCATACTTTGATCCAATTCAAACAAAACGCGTAGAACAACGATTGGAGAAATATTAGAAAATTAAAATATATGGGATACGCATGCGCGAGATGGATAAACAAGAATTTTTAATTTTACCTATGTAAAGATGCAACTCCCTCGCATAAGAGGGCAGCAATAGCCGCATCGACTGCCGATCCACCTTTATTTAACATGCCGACACCTATCTCAGCGCATTCTTGACCATGTGTGGACACTGCAGCCTTTTCAAAAGCAAACCAACATCGTCGATACGTAAAAAAAAAAAAAAAAAAAGAAAAAGAAAAATCACTTAAAATACGATAATGAGTGCGGTTATTATAAATCATTATTCTTCATTATTATTCTCTAAATAAAAATAAAAAAAATCTCATTTAATCATCATTTTGATCCATAGTTTACCTTTTTGTATTTTCCAAAGTACGAGCTTCCATTAGATATCGTTTCTGAATTATTAACGAATAATACGATTATTATCGTTAGGACGATAAATAGAATTGTAGCGATGCTCACCCCAAATATTAGAAGCTTCTTTTTCTTTAATCTTCATAGAAAAAAATTGTGTTAGAAACTGTCCGGTTCCAAAACAATTTGTAAGGAAAATATTTCATTGATAACATCTTTTTTAATTGTGATTGTGATTGTGATATATATTTATAGTTTATGTTTATTTCTGAACCTCGTTAAAAACTGATCGCCTTTGTTTTTTTTCTTTTTCTTTTTTTTTTTTTTTCTTTTTTTTAATTTAAATGAACGATTGCTTTGATCATATTTACATCGTATTTACTATACACGTACACGTATCTATATTGTATTTATGTCGATCGCTTCAATTATAACATGAAATTAATACAATATATAATATAATACATAATACTGAATATATTTACAATATATACATATACATATTTAAGTAATTAAAAAATATTCGATAAAAAAAACGATTTCTTTAAGATATGAAAATGACCGTGAACATTTTCCATTTTAAAAAATTATAAAAGTAAAAAAAAATATTTTACTTCTATCGTGAAGTGTGTTACGATGATATTTATCATAGTTATATGATATATCAATTAATTATAAAATATAAGAATATATATTAACTTATTTCTTTCACGATGAATTAAGGATATGATGAAATCGAAGAATATTAACTATTATTATTAAATATTAATATGAATAAAATCATAAAATCGGAAAAATTCCATAAAATTTCGAAATTTTCAAAATTAAAATATTCTGTTCGATTTTTTTTTTCTTCCTTTTCCTTCCTTTTAAAGAAATCTTTAAGACATATAATTGAAATTTATTTCAAATTTAATTCAGTTACATAAAATATATGATAAACGTTATTAAATAATGATTTTATGCTAAATAAATATTTATATGCCTTTTTTTATAAATAATATTACATAATTATCCATTTAACAAAAATAACATTTTTTTTATTACAAATGATCGAAAGATTATGCGAATAAGTTTCATCGAAATGAAAATGTGAAAAATTTTATAATATCCTCACGTCAAGTTGTTAAAAATATAAATGGAAAAAATATTATTGTTTTTATTATCGTAGAAAATATGAAAAGTGAAAGTATCTTTACGAACCCGATCATGTTGCTTGAACAAATGGGAACAGAGAGCTCTCAACCTTGACTAAACCTTTCAGCAAGTCGATCGGCGCGTTTTATACTAGCTACAATACAGATTCTATTTATTTATCCCCACTCCTATCATACGTACACAATATCAAATACTTCTAATTCCTCCATTTATTTTGAAAGCAATATCCTACTAAGTATTTTTATTAAAATCGGTTATCGATATCGATTTATATATAAATATATAAATCGGTATAGAATATAATGAACAGAATAAACGGTGAAGTAGATATATTGTATTCGTTTTTAGCTCTTATACAGAAGAAACAAAAAATAGGAAGAGAACAATTTTTTTCATATAATAGAAATATTTATTTAAATTTTTTGTTATATTGATGTTTAAATAATTCTATATATTTTTATCGTACTTTATTCGAATCATATATATCTTTGATTTTTCACACATAATTATTGTTTAATTTTGTCTTAATTTTTTTAATAATTTTATAAATAGATTAATAATAGAATTCAAATAAATCATTCAAAGATTGGAGATATAGAAATCATTTTTCAAAAATTGTTTATATTTTTTGACTGAAAAAATAGAAGGAAAATAAGATTATTGAACATAATTCTATTTTACATATTTATTTCTATTTTAAATAATCTATTTTTTAAATTATTTTTAAATAATTCTATCTTTTTTTGATTTTAAATATTTTTTTTATTAATTTTTATATGCATAATTATTGTTTAACTTTATCAATTCTATAAGTTATTAAGAATTCAAATAAATCATTAAGATTTAAAATGCAGAAATTGAAAAAGTGTTTATATTTTTTATTTTAAAAATTAAGATTATGATTAAATGTAATTCTATTTTAAATATTTTTATATTAACAATTTATGTGAAAAAAAAAAAAGTAAAATTATGTCTTTATTTTATTTTTTGAAAAAATAAACAGTATAAAACGTTACGTTACGATGATTATGAAAATGTTAACATATATTACCCTCTATCGGTAAGTCTTAGAACCAAACTTCCGAATGAATAGCGATCATTTTGAAAAACGGCGAAGTCATTTCGTGAGCAGTACAAGGAAGATATATTTTCAAAAAATTTGACAGAATGACAGCAAGGTACGATAGAGCTATTACGGTATTTTCACCAGATGGACATTTGCTACAAGTAGAATATGCACAAGAAGCTGTCAGAAAAGGTTCTTCTGCGGTATGATTATATATTTTATCTAACCTCTTTTGTGTTTGCGATAAATTGTTCAACAATTTTGTATATTTTTGCATTAACGTTACATTATTCATATATCATGATATGATATAACATGAAACTTTATTAATATGAAACAAAATAACATTAAATGCATTTAATAATTGATATTACAAGTTAAAATGTAAAATGATTTTTATATTTTATATTTTTTTTTTTAAATAATCATATTGATGATTTAATTATATAGGTTGGCGTTCGTGGTAATGATGTAGTCGTTTTAGGCGTTGAAAAAAAATCTATTGCAAAACTTCAAGAGGAACGAACAGTTCGTAAGATATGTCTTTTAGATGAACATGTTGTAATGGCATTTGCAGGTTTGTTTATAAATATTATTAAAATATATTATATAAATAATTAATATAATTAATAAATTACTATATGTGTTTTATTTTTTCCTTCAAGGTTTAACAGCAGATGCAAGAGTATTAATTAATCGTGCACAAGTGGAATGTCAGAGTCATAGATTAACTGTGGAAGATCCAGTTACATTGGAATATATAACTAGATACATTGCAGGTAAATATGTATATTCTATTATTTTTTTTATTAAATATATATATACTTATAAAACATTATTCACTTTTAGGTTTAAAACAAAAATATACACAAAGTAATGGTAGAAGACCTTTTGGAATATCGTGTCTTTTAGCTGGGTTTGATTATGATGGTGTTCCACATTTATATCAAACAGAACCTTCAGGCATTTATTATGAGTGGAAGGTATATTATGTTCAGATATTATTTGTTAATTGTAAAAAGAGAAAAAAAAAATTTATTTTCCCTTTCTAAGGCAAATGCAACAGGTCGAAATGCCAAAACAGTTCATGAATTTTTACAAAAATATTATACACCAGAAGAAGTAGCAACTGAAAAGGGAACAATAAAATTAGCTATCAGAGCTTTATTAGAAGTAGTACAATCTGGAAGAAAAAATTTAGAAATCGCAGTAATGAGACGTGGTCAACCTTTACAGGTATAAACTTTAAAATTTATTTATTTATAATATTCTTCGAACAATTCATTTTAAAATATTTTTTATATTATAGATGTTAGATTTAGATACTATTGGAGAATATGTCACTGAAATTGAAAGGGAAAAAGAAGCAGAAGCTGAAAAGAAGAAACAAAAAAAGTGATCTTTACATGGAATTAAACTTATTATTCAATTATTGGTATTTTGCATAAAATAAATATAAAACACATGAATACAAAATTTTAAGATTCTTTTTATTTATACTTTACTGTGTTTTTTTAAATATAGATTTAAAATTTATATTGTTATATATATAATAAAAAGATTATCTTTTTTTTTATGTAATACAATTAAGATTAATAATAAATAATATATAAATTAAATTACAAAATTCTATGCGCTATTTGTATATGTATTTGTTTTTAAATAATTACATTAATTATATGTCCATTTTACGAATAAATAATAAAAATATTTTATTGTGTATATTGAGGCGATAAAGATCTACCACGATGATTAAATATTTGAAATGAAGGAAGATTTCTTAATGTTTCCCAAGATTTGTTTTCTAAATCTACAACTGCTCGAATTTCTTTGAAATCACCAGCAATATACATAACTCCATACATAACCAAAAATAAACTGATAATGCCTTGTATTAAAATCTGCAAGAAAGATATGTCATGAATTGCATATTTTTTTTATGTTAATTCTAAATATTAATACTTACATCAATTGGTAAAGTAATGAATTCTTGTTCTGTTATTCGTAAATATGAACGATCTATAAATTTCATTATAAAAGTTTAGTCAAAATTTAAACAATTTAGTCAAGAAATATTAAAAAATAACCATTATACTTTTAATTGTAAAAATAATACATACGTTGAGCAGCTGAATATGCTGTATGTAATATTGATATCAATCCTATGAATGTCGTAAATTTGTGTAAAGTTGTTGCAGGCATTTTAATATTATAAAACAATATAATAAATATTATAACAATATATATGTTAAACAATAATTATGATTTAATCCTCACAATAGTAATTCTTATACTAGTATAAATTATAATAACCAAGGCTTGTTTTCATGTTATGTAGCAAGATGATTGATTCATTTATAAGTTATCTTTTTTTATTTTATACCGCGTTTCTAATTATTATTTTTTTTTAAATTATATCTAGATACAATTTTTTTAATTTCTAAAATATTATAAGTCAAATTATAAGATAAATCAATTATTTAGGAATTAATTTATCGTATAATATGAATTTACATTCTAAAAAGTGGTTAAAGTGAGAGTTAATAATGAAAAAAAACAGAAAGTAAAAATATAAGAATCAGCACCATCTCCAAAGTGCATAAATAAAACTTGTAATAGATAAGAAAAGCAAATAATAAGAGGATTAAATAAGGTAAGAATTGATTGTTATTACCATCTCTCGAATACTTTTAGAAAAATATCATTCGAAAGATGGCACTAACGATCAATTCTTATCCTATTTCTATTCTTCTTGTCTATTATTTACTCTTCCTGTTTATGCTATTAATCTCATCTACGATACTTTAGAGATGGCGTTGAGTTTCCATATTTTTATTTTTTCTATTTCTGTCTTTTTCCTCCTATTTACTTTTCTTGTCTGTATTCATTCTTAACGCATAATCATAGCAGAATAAAAGATACAAGATGTCAATTAAACACATTTTCATTATTTTTTTTTCAAAACTACAATTTTTTTTTAATTTTTAATGTAAAAAATATATTTAAAATATATACATATAATATTTTTGACTTTATAATATATGTTTACGACGATTTTGCAAAAAATATATACTGCATATGACGTGGAGTCCTATTTCAACGATAGTGGTAGGATTTAAATTTTGTAAATAAAATATATTTCCTATTTTTTACATGTAATTTTGAAATATTGAAATTTAATTTCAATTATTATTATTTTAATTATTATTAAAATCTTATTTTGGACTGAGAATAATACTAAAATAATAATACTAAAAATAATAAGAAGGATCTACTATCCTCCATTATAGGACGAAAAAATATATTGAATGTTAGGTCTATTCTGTACCTCGTTTGTGATGGTATAAGCAAAAGTTGATCGGTCTTTATCTATTTATATATATATGTATTAAAAATGTTTGTTTATAGTTGATAAATATCTCAGTAATATTAAATATCATGGATTATGAATTTAAATTAAAAACTGACACAGATCGAACTAAGGTCGAAGATCTTTTTGAATTTGAGGGATGTAAAGTTGGAAGAGGAACTTATGGTCATGTCTATAAAGCTCGCAGAAAGGAAGGGTTAGTTTTTCTAACCTAACATAGAAGATTAATATATTAAATTATATTTCATATCAGTAAGAATAATCTTTCATTTTTCGTAAAATATAAAAATTTACAAAGGAATATTTTCTGTTATTAGAAAATTGTAGCTTTTATTTAAATATTGAAATAAAATTAATTTTTGTACATGTTTTGGTTTCTTATACATATCTATAATTTCTAGAATACTCTGTAATATATATAATATATTATATTTATTTATTTTAATTATTCTAAGTATTAAGCATTATATAAAAAACACTTATACAAGGCGAGAATTCTTTTCATTTTATCCTTTTCACTTTTTGCGATGATAATGCATATTTGACATTTGAATAGTGTACCAGATAGCGAATTAAAATCTCGACCAGACACAAAGGATTTTGGCCTTAAACAAATAGAAGGTACAGGCCTTTCAATGTCTGCATGTCGAGAAATTGCAGTAAGTATTTATTCTTATTAATATGCATATTATATAAAATTATTATAAAACCATTAATATGCAATTTTGGATAATATGCATATTATCCAAAATTAAAAGCATAATACATATAATAATATTAATTATTTTATTATAAATATTTTGACATATATGTTTCTATAGTTACTTAGGGAACTGAAACATGTAAATGTGATTACATTAATTAGAGTCTTTTTATCACATATTGATCGCAAAGTATGGTTATTATTTGACTTTGCTGAACATGATTTATGGGTATGTTTCTTAGAAATATTTCATAATTGAATTTAGTAATCAATTTCATTAAATATTTTCTAATTTTGAACATTAATAATTTTTATTTTAATCTGTAGCATATAATAAAGTTTCATAGAGCAGCAAAAGCTAATAAGAAACCTGTTATGGTACCAAAGGGTATGGTAAAGTCTTTGTTGTACCAAATTCTTGATGGTATTCATTATTTACATTCCAATTGGGTGCTTCATAGAGATTTGGTAATTTATTATTATATATATAGATTTAAATCATACATATGTATAATATCTTATTTTTATTAATTTTGGATTAAATAATATTAAATTTAGAAACCAGCAAATATCTTAGTAATGGGAGAAGGAAATGAAAGAGGACGTGTTAAAATTGCAGACATGGGTTTTGCTAGATTATTCAATGCTCCTTTAAAGCCTCTTGCAGATTTGGATCCAGTTGTAGTAACATTTTGGTATAGAGCACCGGAATTACTTTTAGGTGCTAGACATTATACAAAAGCTATAGGTATTTTTTTGTATATATTTAAAAATTATAAATATCAATATATATTTTCTTTTCAAATATTTTTTTTATTTTAGATATTTGGGCTATTGGTTGTATATTTGCAGAGCTTTTAACTTCTGAACCTATATTCCATTGTAGACAAGAAGATATTAAGACTAGTAATCCATATCATCATGATCAATTAGATAGGTAAACAAATTGTTTGATATATCATTACATTAAATATATAAATAACATAGAATATAATATTATAATAAATATAACGACTTTCATTAACATTTAGAATATTTAACGTGATGGGATTTCCATTGGAAAAAGATTGGGAAGATATTAAAAAAATGCCAGAACATCCTACATTACTTAAAGATTTTAAAAGATCAAAGTTAGTATCCTTCTAAAGACTGATATATACATACACCAACACATAAAAAATGCATAAATGAAAATTTTTAATTTAATTTTAATTGGAATATAAATTTTCTTACAGTTATGCAAACTGTTCTCTTACTAAGTATATGGACAGACATAAAATTAAACCCGATAGTAAAGCGTTTAATTTGGTATGATTAAGTATGATTAAAATATTTTAATTCTTTTTAAACTTATTTTTCAAATAATAATATTAATTCATTTCAGCTTCAGAAATTGTTAATGATGGATCCCAATAAACGAATAACCTCCGAACATTCTATGCAAGACGCTTACTTTCAAGAAGAACCATTGCCAACGCAAGAGTAAGTCTTTAAGAATTTAAATTACGTTTTTATAATCGTATATATCTTTTGCTTTTAAACCGAATCAATCTACTTAAATAATTAATATTGTAGCATATTTGCCGGTTGTCCTATTCCATATCCTAAACGAGAATTCTTAACGGACGATGATACAGAGGAAAAGACTGAAAATAAAGCACGTCAAAATCAACAACAAACTGTGAGTATTCATTAATTTGGATAATTTATATTTTTCTTTTTACGAATTGTTATAAAATTTTAGCAACAAAATCAGCAACAACAAGGAAATGGCGATCATAATCACGGACAAAATGCAAAACGAGTAAGACTTAATGGTCCTCATGGAGCTCCAGAATTTCATCAACATCAAAGTCATGCAATGACCCATCAACAACCTCCAGGAATGGTTTATTCTACCGCACAACCAACGCAACCATCAAATTTTCATCAACGTTTTTAAATGATAAGGCGATTAAATTCGCCAGTGAACATTAAATTATTAGTCTATCAATTTAATTGATTTCTGTATCAATGAACAGACGAGCGATTTCTGTATATTCACGATATGATAATATAATTTTATTTATATATTGTGTATATGTACATGCGTTACTAATGTGTACTTTTTACACTATACATTTGCATTTCATGTATATGCAATATTACATATTCGCAACATGTTTACTAATATTACAAAAAATGATATGTCTATTTTTTACGTCTTTAATGAACGACATTGGTAAATTTGAAATAATTTGATGAATGTAGATAAAATTAAGAAATCTTTAAAAAATTAAACAACTCTTAAATATCTTTATATTCATCGCCATTAAAACGGTACATGAAATTTTTATGATGAAGAAAAAATAAAAACAATTGTAAATGAAAAGAAAGAGTTTGAAAATGGAAAAAAGAATGCGAATTATAAGTAGTCTTTGCTCATCGTCAAAGATGACAAAGAGTGAAGTTGAATCGAACAGAGAGAAAGTACGCATGCGCGATAAATCATTCCATAGCAAGGTGGCGGCCAGTCGCGCGCTCCTGAAACGCAGTTTCCGCGAATCGGTGCTTGACGAAAAAAGTGTGCGTGAACCGCGTGCTACCGCAATCGAAATGCCGATCAAACTACGGATCATTTATTCGCCAAACAATCTGTTGTTTAAATGAAAATAAAAGGTGAGAAGAAGATTGTTATAAAAGTTTTATCCAACAATATATGCGATTCTTTCTTTCGTTCATCGTCTTATTAATTATTCCATTAGTCTCGAAAATGAACACCTGTCAAATGTATTCGCGTTTTTTTTTTTCGTTTTCTGAATGAAAGATATCACTTTTATAACAATTGTCCATACCGTTAACATTAGTTTAAAATATTCTTTTTTTCTTCTATTTTTGAATTCTCTTTTGTTTTAACAAAACGAATAGTGCATGAATTATTTTCAATTTCGATCGAATAATCCCGCAATATTAAAAGATCTCTCTTGCGTAATAAATAATTAAATAAATTTATCTAATATCATATTTATAAACGGTTTAATATAATTTATTTATTTATTGCATTGGTTCATCAAAAATTAAAATTCCATGTTTTTTTTATGATTATTATTTTATAAGCGAAACATAAATAATAATATTTCACATAACACTCTATGTTGCATAATTAGAATCCATTTTCTGAATCGATTTTCTCTTTAATAAAAGATAGAAATTATTCGAGAAAAGTAGAAGAAATTAAAATTTTGAATTTTGAAAATATCAAGAAATGTGATAGATGTATGAGTAAAAGTAGGGGAGGAGGGAACGATCCTGACCACTATAATCCAACAACCAGTCGGGGGCCATGACCACGTTGCGACAAGGTAACCGCAATTAACTCGTATCGATATATTAACGGAACGATTTGAAATCCTAACTGTTTCCGATTCGTTTGCAACAACAGCTATCGAGAACATGTTAAACGTTAAACGATATACGTGTGT